TAATTATTGTGAAAAAATTGATAATATTACACTGTTTTGTGCTCATTATAGACGCCATTTGATTTCCAATTAGAATATTGTTCAGGTTCTTATTTCTAGGAACTCTAGATTCAATCGTCTTCCGATTACACGACACCGAATTTTCGGACTATTGGATTTAATAGCAATGGGAATACAATGAACCTCTGTGTTTTGCGCGGCGGGGAAGTTACGTCAGTTATTTCGGTCGAGTCCGATCATAGCGTCAGTTCCCTGTTCGATTTAGGGATCGTTTCGTTTATGTCGTTGATGCGGTGGCACCTGATGTCGCGGCCGGATACAAAATTGAACGGGGGACGAGCGAATTTCGGATGAGAGTCCATTATTCCCCTCCAATTAAATATATACATATTTCGCTCGCGTTTAAGATTGATTGGAAACTACAAAGTTTCCAGTTGAACGTGTATCGTTTTCGATAGCGCAATTTTAAGGCTCCTGACACCTCGCCGACCACGTTGAAATTGTGACGTCAGAGAAAGCGCATGCTAAAAATTCTCGCGCGCCATTTTGAAATAAAATGCTATTTCGATGAAACATTATTTCAGATATGGCTTTAGCACGCTTTTAAAATAGTCTCCGAAAACTCCATCTTTTTGCTTTTATAATCAATCAAGCTATAAAATGACTGAGATTATTCCGTATGATATCATAAACATTTTACGGTTGTTGACTGTCAATAAGAGGAAAAAATAGTTTTCGGACTATTTTACAAGTGTGTTAAAGAGATTTGTCATGTTGTTTCATCAAAATATTTTTTTATCTAAAAGTGAACTTTCTCGCCTCTTCATACGCTCTAAAGTGCCTTTTCATACGCTGCAGCAGCAAATCAATCACGTGATCAAAATTTATTAGAGCATATTTCTTTGTTCTCTTATTATTTTATGATTAAAATTACGATTTTTGCTTTTATATTCTCATAATAATCTATTTTATTCTTTAAAAAATCCATTATTTAACTAATATAATAATAATAATTAGAATCAATTAGTTACGTGTTCTTCCGCTTTGCTGCCTTTGCTGTTCGTTCAATTGAACTTCACCATAGCAACAAACTGCGGCAGCATGCTGCACATGAAATGCTACCTTTAAACAAAATTTGTTCTTCGTAAAAAAATCAAAGAGAGACATGTGAAGGAAGGAGACTCAAACACGAGTCAAGTATTACATTAAATATAATATATTTTGTGTTTGAAATACAATCGAGAGATATATTTCGGATCTCATATTTGCGGAGAGGTTTCTGTTTATCAATTTAGCATCTTAAGCTGCTCAAGAGGCTAAAGTCAATATTATATCATACGGCAAATTTATCTTTGGCGGTCTACGATGACGAGCAGCGACTGAGTTAAGTAGGTTCCGTTGAATGTGGAAAATCAAAGAGAAACGAGGCGCTGCGAGGGATGAAGTTGGAGGAAAAGAGGGAAGGGAATAAAAGGGAAAATCAGAAAAAGATCAACGCGCGCGTGTACATGATTTAATGGTGCTTTATGGCCATAAAAGTCCGCTAATTCCGCCTCTGTCCAACCTTTTCTCGTCAAAAGTCCGAAGACGGACAAGAATATATATATCGTCGCGAAATTTTTCTCTTCATAAGAGCCCGTCTCCCGAAATAAATCCGTGGCCAAAGGAGTGGGATTACGGAAGGTGAGATCTCGATAAAACTCTCGGGAATGGAGTAACAAGACCGCGGAAAAGTCATTCTCGACTTTTTTTCACCAAAGTAAGCTCTCTCCTTTTTATATACGTTAAATCGCTCGGGTAAGATTACCCAGATTCGCAATCCGTTATACCGCATTCGCGTTAATGTTGTGCATAATACAAGATAATTATATATATATATATATGTTGTACGGAAATTAACACTATTATATGTATATCACGTTACCTTATATATGGATAGTATCACTACATTTTATTATGATATTACAAAAAAGGGAAGACATAGAGATGATATTGAATTTCCTCCAACATCATATCAAGTTTCCCTTATATACTGTAAATCTAAATATAAATGATATTGCATTTCTCGTACATGCAAGTCCGCGGACTTGTATGTAATCTTGAAGAAAAATAATGTATCGCTTCCTCCTTCAAATGGTAATCAGATTCAAGAGAGAGGTACGGGTACTTCGAATCGATCCATAAAAGTGAGAGAATATAAGTCGGTGTCGGTGCGTGCATCCGAGTGCTCGCGAATAAAGTTTGCGATAAGCACTTCGGGCTTCGCATCCGCGAACTTGACAGGGCAAACTCTTAAATCCGAAATTTTCGATGCGACTGAAACTCGACGAACTCCGACGCATATCCGTCGTCTCTCGCGGGAAAACGATCCGCGAGTTTCCCCCGTTTAAAGACAGAGCTGCTATACCCGACATAATTTCACCTCCGATGTTTTGATAAGCGGGGCAAACGTCGAGGCGATGTTTAAACAAAAATTTTCGCAGTCCTCTCGATCCTCCTGCACTTTTATTATGTTAACCTGGACGTGGATATACATGAAAAATACGATGATCAATGCGATATGGGCGTTCGCAGAGAAGGCCAGAAGAGGGCATTTGCCCTCCCTTGGAATCGATGCTTCCAAAAATTAAGCATTTGCTCTCCTTTTGAGAAAGGAATTTATTTGCATATTTATTAATATAAAGAAGGAAAATTAAAAAATTAGATTTTTAAAAATTAAGAAAAATAAGAAATAAAAAAATGTTAATTATCCTCCTCTGAAAAAAATCGCCCATGATCAATGATGAAGCTCGTGTTCTTTCAAACGGACCGATAGCTCGCTCAACATTTTTTTGCACGTCATGAACGAAAATTATTTTTTAGCTCAGTATTGCAAATATATACGGATGTTTTATTTAAAATAAACCAAATAAAATTACACACGCATAAATAAAGATCGTATATTTCCACTGAATTCAAGATAGATTTACCTTGACAAAATTTAATCCGAATTTGAATCGGTGTAAATAAAAATATCATTCAACGTTGACAATTTTATTACTCGCCGAACTTTTCTTGTTCGTCAAGAAAGATCGTTTTCTCTTAGATAAATATTTTTTTTCCGCCATCTCCATTCGTTTCGACTGTTTTCGAGCGTGTCGGTCGAAATCCGATCTCGCCACATAACGTAATACCCAAAAGCACTCGCGCAATAATGGAGCCATCATGTCATTCGGTTGGCGAAGAAGGCATACGCGGAGTTTCGAATCGAAATGGTTTTAGAAGAGAGAGAGAGAGAGAGAGAGAGAGAGAGAGAGAGAGAGAGGAGGAGAACGAAGAGGGTAGGCAGGGTGGCATCCCTCGGGACTGAGAAATCCGGTTCTGGGCAAACTGTCTTGCGAGTAGTTGGTCGGATAGTTTCGGATCCAGATTCCCGGGAGTTAAGCCAAACCGCCTTCTCAAGCGAGACGACGCTCAGGTCGTTCCGTCTATCCTACCTTCGCCTACCTACGTCTACGTTCTCTCTTCCCTCGTCGCGGCGCGACGACAGTGTGCGGTCCCGATGCCTGAAATGAGATCCGTTTGCCGCTCCTAGTTACGGGAATAACGTAGCGTTAGGTTCGGATTTATGACGGACCGAGGTCGAATAAATCGCGGATTATACGACTTGTCGAGCGCATTAAAGGAACGTGCTCCCACTTCTGACGGACCCATCTCGAAATTTATACAATACTCGTTCAACCCTTTCGGAGACGACCTGTCCATTTTACACGTCTAATATTTCTACGTTTCACGAGATATAATGAGATACAGCATGTACTTTATATCTTTGAATAGATGACACTCGCGGTATTAATGATTAGGTACTAATAGAAGAGTAATTTATTAATTGAAGCACTCTACCGAACTACAATTGTACAATATATATGTTACAAATTGATAAAAGTTTCTCTTCGTTCGCTATTTAATTTCCATATCTCCTTTTATTTTCATTTTCAATTTTTGAAAATTAAATAGATCCATATAGGTGTTTTTTATGAATGAGAAAATGAAAGATAAATACGATACAAAAAATAAATAAATTCGAATATATATGGGAAATATATAATTAAAATATTTCAAATTAAATCTATATTTGCCCGAAATATATATCATGGGGACTTAATTCAATATAATAACGCCGCGATGTATATATACTATCGAAAATTTTTCCGCGAACAAGACTGGCATGAGAGGAAACTAAACCGATGACGTATAAATTCTTGTTTTCCTGCTTCGCGCCAACATTCTAGCGGGACGTTTTTCGCCAAACATTTTTCGCTGCGAGAACGATTTCGAAAATCGAGTTGCGAGCGCGGACAGAACTTACTTATTTTACTCTAATACGCGGCGTCGTCGTTTTATCACCAAATGGAGAATGCAGGAGCGAGTTCTCCTCTTCTCTCTCTTTCTCTCTCTTACCTACAAGCTTCGCTAGAAAACTTGGCATGGCCGGGACCACCACTATCTATTCAATTTTCGCCAAGTTGGCGGAGTCGTTGCCAGGAAAACCGACCGACCAACTGGACGTTTTGTCTTTTCTCGCCTCTCTCGCGAAAGAAAGATGATGAAAGTCGCTCAGCCCGAAAGAGGGATGGGAATAAAAAAAACAAAGAGGGACGCGAGCTTTCTGCACAGGCTGACTTCCCTGAGTTACTTATGGTACGAGATAACGCGAAAATGCGTTTCTGTCCGCCAGAATGATTTTTTATTTCGCTCCTTGACGCTATATTAGAGTTTAAACCGCTGTGTTATTGACCTATGACTTCGCACATAATTTATTGATTCTTCTCCTTCCCTTAATGCAAATTATATTTTTAGCAGAATATATATATATACACTAATCAATTTATATTTTTTCCTACCCTCTTTACAAAAATAATATATTTCAGAATTAAAGTCAGTATTAAATATTATATTAAAAAGTGGATATTTTTATACCAAATGCGTTGATAAAACAGAAATAATAAAAATAATCAGTATTTGTTGCGATAGGTCATTCTTTATATTTTTCTGATACCAGCATTCATAAATAAATCATGTGAGTAAACTTGTGGGTACCTTTACAATTGTACAATTGAGACTAGGATCAGTAATTTTACGACGCACCAGGAAAAGGGTCCACTCTGTTTTTCCGTAGAAGAAATGCGATCTTCCTGTCCATGTCCTCGTTGTAAAGCGCCTTACACTTTTCGAAATTCACTCTGCGTCTGACGTAGGTCGGCTTCTCGTAGTACCTGGTGCGTCTGAATTGGCCGAATATGTCCTCCTTGGATAATATGCGATTCAATACGCGACATGCCTTGTCCACATCGTTGTTCTGCACCAGAATTGTACGACTTAGGAATTGAGCGTGTCGTCGAAGAGCCATTTCTGTAAAGGAAATATTTATAATTAGTAAGATTAAATCACGACTCTGTAATATATCAAATATAAATTACAAATAAAAAACCCTAAAGAACCAGGCTCTTTTATATATATATATATATATAAGAGCCTGGCTCTTTAGGAATTTTTATTTATAATTTATATTTGAAATATTATAAATATAAATCACAAATAAAAAGCCCTATATATATATATATATATATATATAGGGCTTTTTATTTGTGATTTATATTTATAATTACATTTCCGTACTTAAGACTGTCATGTAAAATTAGAAAACAAAGAATAAACAAATTCTTTCTTTTTTTTAATTACTTAAGATAAAATAAATGAGATAAAAATATATGAGATGAAATATATGAGGATAAAATATATGAGATATGTGATAAATTATCTATCCATACAAGTTTAATATACTAAGAAATTATTATAACGCTAGAAAATTAAATTATTCTCTCATTATTAAATGATAAATGTTACTGCGAGCTTATTTTGCATCCATTTTAGGTTAGGTTAAATTAGAGTGAAGAATTCATCACGCTATCTTCGTTAATTCCTTCAACTGCAAACGCTTTTTCACGCACATCTATCAAAGATACTATACTCACTATGAAATAGCGCCAAAAATCATTAATTCACTTATAAATTAACACCTTTCACTATCGATTCTGGACAACAAAACGAAATAATCCTCTTTCACACATTTTCCGCTGAAAACGAAGCAAGTAGAGCCATCTAGTTGCTGCAAATGAAAATAAAACGAAAGCTCGAATGATAAAGTAGATAAAGATTACATGACATTTTATATTACAATTTTTGCAAAAATAATTATTAGTATTAAATTATTTTGTTGATGCAAAATTAACACACGAATTATATCTTCAACAATTATTATAAAGCTTGGAAAATACAATAAAAAGAAATATATAAGTGTAAATGGAAAAATATATGAAACGATTCTCGAGATATCAAATTCTTTCGTCTTATTTAATATTTTATAATATTATAATATTAATTTTTTAATGTACTTGATTAATTAGTCCTCGTTTCCGGCGGATAATCGTAAAAGAATCTTATGTGTCCTAAAAATATCACATTCAGCAGCGTGATGACAATAAAGTAGACCACCAGGTAACGGACGATCTGCAAAATCAATATTTGAAGATATAACACGTATTTGGAACATTAAAAAAAATATTTCCTCGTGCGGAAAATGTATCATTCGCAGGTAGCAAACTGACGTTTAATGACGTCAGTTGACGTTTAATGACGTCTAATGACATCATTTTGACGTTTAATGACGTCAGTTTGCTACTTGGATTGTTACGAGTAATTTTTATGAAAAATAGGGAGATGATATATGAAATGAAATTCGTGAATTACTTCTTTGTCTTTGAGATTGTAACCGAAACCCCATCGACATATGCATAGCCAGGCACTCAACGACAGTAGAAATAAAATAAAGGCGAACGGTGAAGCGTATATGTGTACGATAAACATTTGTTCATGTTGCGTATATACGATCTCTCTCTCTTTTTCACAGCTTATCCGGCTGACACATCATATTTTCGCTATGTCGTTTCTCTAAGAACGAATTCCTTCGACAAACACGAGATTTTACGAATCGTTTCCATATTTCATCCGATTAAAATGCATCCTCTTCCCCGAATCGGTGTTTATATTGCCGATCTCGCGCGTGTCGAATAAATTTTTCAAAATTGCTGGAAAAAATTTTACAAGCAGCTCTCAACCTGTGGAATTATTTAGTAAGTTGGCGCATTTTTTACAAAATATTTTCCCATTTTTATAAAACGTACATTGACAATAAATTTCTATCCGATGTCTTCGAAAATAAAACTGACAATTTTGTGAAAATTGGCTTGTTACAAAGTGGCCTACTTCAGATGCAAAATATCGATATTAAATAAAAAATTTAGTAATGTTTTATTCGCTTTTGTCGACTCGTATATTATTTTGAGCAAGGAAATGAAATTGGCGATAATTGTTTGATCGATAATACTCTACTCCAGCGTGGAGATTGTCAAACGTGTCTTTCGAGCTCGAAGAATTTTTGCTGTTCCTTGAAAGAGAGATAATATACTGTACACTACTTATGTTTACTTTATAAAAAATGCCTCCGAAAAAGAAGAAAGAAATTATCCCACCATCGGAAATAGAGCCTATTAAGTAAGTAAACTCGAGGAAAATAAATCACACAATTCCATGGTGATTTAATTTTGCTTTTTGTATTAACGCTATTGTTTATTTTATTACGTGTAGAAAGAGATATTAATTATGATACAACTCAAATATAATAAAATATATCGTACAAAATCTATTTATTTATCAGATAAAATCCGGTGGAGAATGTGGAGAAACAAGCTCTTCGTTAATAATTAACGATCATTTTGTGCATGTATGATTTAATTATTAAAAATGTAATATTTTTTCTTTGGTTTTTCCGCCCTTTCCAAAGTATTCAATCCATATCGTCAAAATTAAATTCTGAAAATTTACTTTTCTCAATTTGATATTACTAGAAATATTTTTTCCGAAGAGGCGGATTAATGGAACTCCGATGTTCGAGAATTCTTCTCGAAAATGGCTATTCTCTTCGTGATGGGCAGTTACGTGGCTTCACAGCCGAAAGCCCAATATCAAATTGATATATACTATAAAAGCTCTTTTTGCGAAGAGCTTTTTTATTCGACGAAAAAATTTACCCGCCAATTTCAATTTCTTTTGTGGATATATATTCGCGTCGACTTGTCAATCATGCGCGAAATTTTTATTCCCGAAATTGATCACTTATTTATAGATTTTAATGATTTGAGAAAGCTGCATTTTTTCGATGCTTTTATCAATTTTAACGATGTCTTCTTCAGCTTTATTTTTAAATTCTTATATCAATCAAGAAAGACAATAAGAGAGAGAGTCTTTAAAGCTTTTTTCCAATTCTTGTATTTATATCACTGACAATAAGAAAATCATTTTGTCAATTTTATTGTGCTAGATATTTCTAAAAGAATCGAAATAAATTAATAAATTACACATGCTTTATAAATACATATCGTATAATAAATATAATCAATAATCAGACGCAATCTAATCTATTTCCATGTATTTATAATATGTGCAATTAATTTATCAATCTATGCAAATTAAAAAATTACAAACTAATTGAACTAATATAGTATTATTAAAATAATTAATATCAAATTTTGTTAGTATATAAAAAAAATTACAAAATTATCTGCTTGTGTTGGCATTCTAGCAAAAATATAAATCAGTTATTTTATTTATAAATAGTATCTTTAATGACATAACGGCCCTAAGAAATGCAAGATAATAATCGAAAGTAAACAGTTTCTTTCTTTTTACATCGTTATTAAAGATTGATATTCCACAAAAATGTCTAATTTTATAAATCAAGCTATTCGCACGATAAAAGATTTAGATTAAATTATTCAAAATTTAGAATAATTTAATTTATCCATTTAATTCTTTCCAAGTTATATTTATCTAGATCTTAGAATCATTAATAAATAGAACTTTCAAACCGCAGAATTAAGCGAATTTACTAATTTCGTTCTTGTAGATCAGAGCCGGAAACCGTAGAAACGACCGAATCCGAAGCTACGAAACAGATATCTTTGCTCACCGGCGAACCTTATGGACCTCGAGTGCGTATTATCAGCGAAAAAGCTGAAGAGCAGAGTTCGGATGACGAGCCGGAATCGGAAAGCGAAGAAGAGGCCAGATATCGCCAGGAAGATCATCCGGAAGTGCCTTCCGAGTTCTGGCATATACAGAAGCTCATTAAGTACATGAAGGCCGGCAACCAAACCGCCACTATGGTGTCCTTGTGTCTGCTGAAGGATTATGATCTCACTGACAAGGTTCGTGTTTTATGTTTCATTGATATTATAAGAAAATTATTCATTATCGCGTTACAGTATAAAATAAACAATTAAGGAAAATGTATATTATACCTAACTAGATTATTGGTTTTATTAAACATTTATTATATTTCCCAAGTAGCAAGCAAAATGATGTCATTTTGACGTTTGATGACATCAATTTGCTATTTGGGTTCATAACGAAATGAATATATATATATATATATGTATGTATACTTTTTTATTTCTATAATTTTTCGCGATAGTACAGATCATACAAAAGGCTATTCAGGAAATGGGCGGCCTCGAAGTTTTGGTGAACCTTCTGGAAACGAACGACATCAAGTGTCAGAATGGCTCGCTGTCTGTCCTGTTGCAAATCGCGACTACCACGGAGATGAAGCGATATTTGATTGATTTGGACATCACGACGCCATTGATCCAAATGCTGAAGCATCCAGCTCGAGATATTCAGGTCGTTCACCGATCCCGATTCTTAATGACTTTTTTAATTCTATCGACTAACTGTCTCGTTTGAGAAAATAGCTTAACATATAGGATTTGATTATCAACCAACCAATATATTTTCGTTCAATTAAAAATAATGGTCTTCAATTTTAATCTTTAAATATATTATTTATTTTGTTATATATTTATTCGTCTAATTTGATTATATTAAATACATTTAGTACGTATTTTTATTCTTCGCAGGTTTTAGCAGCCGAAACAATGGCAATTATAACTCGAGTCAGGAAAGCTAGGAAGCAAATCCGAATTCGTGGTGGAGTACCGCTAATAGTAAGTTATTGGATTGCAATTATTTATATTATTCTTTATTCACACTTCACGTGAATGTGAGTAACATACATAAAACAATGCATAAAAATGTTTTCAAAATTATTATACATGTGATTTTTTAAATATCAAAGCGTATTCCTTTTTTTAATACGAACCTTTAAATACAATTAGCTAGACGTGATGGATGTGCCGGATGAAGTCCTCCGTCGATCGTACGACGACTTGAACGAGATCAACAAGGAACTCGTGGCGGTCGCCATCGGTTGCGCCAAGGTCCTGGATTCCTTGAGCAGCAGTCCGAAGGTCAAGGAGGAGCTTCGCAAGCACGGAGTCGTTCGTCTGATGTCACGCTTCTTGAGATCAAAACATACACAGCTGATCATACCGACGATGGGCGTCGTGCAGCAGTGCGCTGATCTGGTTTACCGAATTTCCTCTATAGCTTTCACTTAACTAGAAGATAACGCATTGATCTACTTATAAAAAAAATTAATTTAATTAATATGGAATATATAGAAATTATATAGAAAAATTAATTATCGCTAAATTGATAATTAAGGCTTCTGGCTCTTTGCCGATTATGTTGAAATCGTGACATCATAGAAGCGAGAAAACACATGCTAAAAATTCTTGCATGCCATTTTTATATAAGAAGCTATTTTTCGATGAAACATTACTTTATAGATGACTTAACACACTTTTAAAATAGTCCGAAAATTATTTTCTTCTTTTTATAATCAATCAACAGCTGTAAAATAAATACAAGGTACAGTCTGGTCTGTGCATGCACAGTTATTCGGTATGACAAAAGTCTGACATCACGATCATTTTACGCACTATAAAAAAAATATGTAATAATATTACACATAAAAATATATAAAATTACATAAATAATAAGTGTAAAATTACACGATAAATGATGAAAATGTATAGCGTTTCATTATTATTTCATTATTATTTATCGTACTTTTACATTTATTATTTATATAATTTTACATATCTTTTATGTAATATTACATATTTTTTTTACAGTGCGATTATTGATTGATTCAAGGAGAAAAATAGTTTTTGGACTGTTTTACAAAAGTGTGCCAAAGAGATTTGTAATTTCATCAAAATTCTTTTTATCTATAAATGGCACACTAAAATTTTCAGTGTGTTTTTCGCCTCTGACAATCTAACATGGCCGTGGCGAGAAGCCTTAATTAAAAGATAACGCATTGATCTACTTGTGAAAAATAAATTTAATTAATATGAAATATATAGGGATTATAGAAAAATGTAATTATCGCTAAATATTGATATGGTAATTAAGAAAAAATTCAATTTACAAATCAGGTCAAATGCATATCGATATCACGTTATATTCTGAAACTGTATTTGCAATATTCTCATTCTTAATGATGAAACTTTGAAAAGACGTTTATTAATTATTGATAATTACAATCTATTTTCGCGATTTTAATCAAAGTATCTCCTTGCGATTAATATTACATTTCTATGAATATTGCAGAGCGTTTTCAGAGAGGCGTTTGAGCGAGTGGGTATGATTGACGAGCTGGTGCGCCACTTGAGGAACGAGAATGTGAAGCTGAAGGAGAATTGCGCCCTGGCCATCTTCAAGTGCGCCTCCAATCGGGAGACCCGGACGATGGTGCGTAGGGCAGGCGGCCTGGATCCTCTCTGCAAGCTCGTCCAGAGCGACGAGGTGCGCGCCAACAAGCGACTACTGGCAGCGGTGACTGGCAGTGTTTGGAAGTGCGCCATCAGTCCGGAGAACGTAACGAGGTTCAATCAGAACGGTTTGGTGGCCTCGCTGGTGCCGCTGCTCGAGGAGAACGAGGACGAGCGTGTGTTGGCCAACGTCGTGGGCGCTCTCGCTGAATGCTGCAAGGATCCCGCTAACAGGGAGGTCTTGAGGACTAACGAGGGTCTACCGAAACTGGTAAAGACCGTTCAAAGTCGGAAAGTACACTTCTCTCTCTCTCTCGCTCGCTCTCTCGGCCTTCTTGGATCAAACTTTACTCCTCCTGTTTGACAATAACTCTGTCTATACATGCTTATACACTTGAATAACAAAAGTGAATAGACATATACATACAACGGAACAAATATATTCTCAAAGTTATAAAGTTGTACAATATACAAAGCTGCGAAGCTGTATTACATACACGAAGAATCGAATCTCTATTTGCAGATAAAATATCGTATATTTTGTCGCCAACTTATTATAAAAAACTATTTTACTCTCGTCTATTTACTTCGTGTTTTAATTAATTAAATGTTGACTAAAATATCACATTGGAAACTAAGGAATTATTTAAAATATTGAGCGTTGACAAAAATTTTCGAACACATTTGAGGACAAATATATGCTCTGTATAAATATAGAGCGAAATCGATAGCCGCAATTCCGTGAACAATTATCCACGAACGATTATTAGATTAATTCCCCTCGTATAATTTTATAACAATCACTAATTTCATCATCGGGAAATATTACTGCATTGACCCACTTGCGTTTAATTATTTCTCACTTGACCCTATATATGAGTAATAATTTCCAAATGAGGCGATAATTGGATTGCGCATTGGAGGATTCGCGAATCCGGCACTCTCGATCATTAATCGCGTGACGTTTTCCTCGTCACTTCATTATCGGGAGAATGTGATGGGCCACTTGATGGACCTTTGCAGATCAGGTTGTTGAGCGCCACGTACCAGCCATTACTCGAGAACGTGCCGTTGGTGCTGAAAGAGTGCGCCGTCGACGAGAGATGCATGGACATCATCAACGATCCAGAGCACCGGCTAGACGGCGTGCGATTGGTCTGGTCCCTACTGAAGCATCCGAGCGACGTGATCAAGCGTAACGCCTGTCTCGCCCTGGTACCCTGCATCCGTCACGCCAAGGACTCGCCGGAAATGGTGCGCGCCTTCGTGGGCGGCTTGGAACTCACAGTTAGCCTCCTGGAGAGCAAGGACACGGAGGTGCTCGCCGCGGTTTGCGCTATGATTGCGGAGATCGCCGCCGATCCCGAAAATCTGGGCATCCTGACGGATCACGGGGTCGTGAAGAAGTTGGCTGCCCTCGTGCAAACTGTTAGCTTAGCGCTATATAATATTTCCTTTATTTGCTTCCGGGTTACTTCTCGTGGAAAAAGAGAAGAGCAATCGATAGAAGTGACGAGTTTTTCTTTTTACATGTTATTTATTTATACTAATTTCTATGGATATATGATACGTCTAATATAATTTTATTAGAAGCTTTATTAGAATATTTTCTTTATCTTTTTCCACGAAACAATCACATTTAGACGCGTAAGTTTTTATTAAATATTTTTAATTAAAATATCAGTAGTGATAAGATGGTTTCTTTTAGGATGATGAGAATTTGCGGGCAAATCTGACGTTAGCGATAGCCTATTGTTGCGAATGGGATCGGAATAGTTACGAATTTGGCAAACTAAATGCCGTCGCACCGCTCGTTAATTATATGACCAGCAAGAACAAGGACGTGCTAAAAGGCGTCTGCATCGCCGTGTACCATTTAAGCAAGGAGCCCTTAAACTGCGTGACCATGCACACCTGCGGCGTTATTAAGGTACAAATTATAAGCGTTTAACGTGGCCAGCATACGCGACATTAATGAGAAACCGCTCCATGTTAAAAGGACGAAATTCTATATGAAAATTTTCGAAAAATTGAAAAAAAATTATCTTGCGAGAAATGAAATATCTAAAATATTAATAAAAAATTTTATATATAAATATATAAATATCTTGTCTCAACATTGAAACGTTCATCAATTTATTATTGCCTCGCAGATATTTGTCATTTTTGAAGATGAAATTCTTAGCAGAAAAAAATTTAAATATTCAGAGGGTTACGTCTTTTTAACATTTAAAAATTTCAATTAATAAATAAAAAAATCGACTTAATGGGATTATTTTCGCTTTCTTTATCTTGTTTCGGATGTTTTGATTAAACATCCGACGCTTGAAAAAGTTAATGAGATTTTCAATTAAAAAAACAGCACGTATTGCGCTTGGTGGGTTCAGACGATCCGGAGGTGCAGATCGCAGCTGCGTCCACTATTCGTCACATAAGAAAGCTCGCATTGACAGCCGAAAAATTCCACTTTAAAGAAGTGTAATTCTTTTATATTTTTTTAGCTAGAATCCTAAAGAGTACAACAGATAACTTTTACTTTAAAATTGTGAAATAGATTAATTTGCGTTTTTTTCTTGCTTTAATTATAAAAACATGAGAGATAATTTTTACTTTATTAATTAATAAAATATTTCTAAAAATTATTGTGTTTATTTTGTCAGTTTAAAATTAAATATCAGAAAATCAGATCTATAATTAAATAAGTCATTTAGCATAAAATTATCTCATTCAATTAGCAACTTATATTTCAAATCAATATTCTAATAATGCATTGTGTTCATGTTTGATTTTTCAACTTTATACATATTTATGCATCTACTTGTGCTCTTTAAGATTAAATTATTGTTATTGAATAAAATTATATGTATATATTATGTATATACAATATTATTTAAATTTTTCACAGGAGCACGTTACAAGAAACTGATTTTCGTGTATGAGTGACATCAGTTACATCAATAAATTAGAAAAAAGAAGAGAAAGAGAAAATAAATGTATAAAATAAAAAGATATTTATTGATGCGTGTCAATGGCAATTTATACATAATTTTCCGTCAATATCTCTAAATTTACAATTTTGCTTAAAACTTCTAATATTCTTCTTGTGGCAACAACTGGTAACATTGTACAAAGAATTTTTAACAGTAATTGAAGATGTAGAAAATTTCTTCCTAGATTTTTAGGATTCGGACATTCGATCCACAATTGAGGAACAATTCGATCTTGCCAAATGTACAATTATTAATTATTAAATTAATCAAGACGACGGCTTATATTTGAGCAATATACATATCCTAAGCTTGTCTCTGTAAGCTTCAAAATCGAAGTTTTGAAGTATGTACGTAGATTATTATATATAATCAAGAAGAGAGATAAGAAGATAATCGTATGCTAATACGATTCGACTTTTCTCTCGCGTGTTTAATACGCAAATTTAAACTGTTCTTATTTACCGACGATTTTCGTAAATTGGAAACTTTGGATTCCCGACTCAATTCAACAAGGATTGCGCCTTTTCCGCGATAGACATATGTAATAAACATTTTCTATCATCAGAACTATCTTCTCTTTCTTGTTTAAATTGAAATTTAGCTCCGTTTTCTGCTTGAATCTTTTTTATCATATCTCCGCCTTCTTTCTCAGGCTTCTGGCTAGTTCAATTTTGCCGATGCTTCTATAATATTTCGTCCACTGAACATTATAATCGGCCTGACCTCCATTTGATTAGCATTCTTCCGTCATTGGATTGCGGTTGACTTGGCCATGTTTGATAGCCTGTATTCCAATTTGGATTATATTCAACTGCTCATTGTGCGTACGAAGAACCAGCTGAGCCCATGCTTAATTTTTAAGTAAATCTCTTTGCTTGTTCAACTTGCTTGAAATTTCTCCGAATAATGATTTTTTTCATTTTCATTACTTTGATTCCTTCTATCTAATTCACAATGCGCTCCTGTCTGTTGGTTGATCTGTTTGATAGTCTCATCATCTTAGCCAATTATAATTTCGCATTTATAAGACGGAGATAGACATATGTAATAATTAAATAGCAATATTGCTTATTAAAAATGATATAAATTTTTTTATTAAATCTTTACGTTAACTTCTCCGGATCGGTTATGTACCATTTCCGATTTAATACTTTAAATCTTTGCCATTTTTTTAATAGTTAAACCACCCGCTATTTATCAATTACGCGTAGAAACTTACCTACCTAATTTCACCAACATTGAATTTTATCTTAATTAAGACTGATATCGCAGAATATTTTAAGATAAAGAACCAAACACTTGACACACATGATAATTAACATTAATATAATACATAAGATGGAGCTACACGTTCGTTACCAATGTCACATATATATATATATATATATATATATATATATATATATATATATATATATATATATACACTTGATTCTCACGACAGACGCAGGATAGAGTGAACATTTTATCAGAATAAATAAAGTCTATCTCATCATATAATATAAAAAACTATAGTAATAAGTAATTTGTGTAATTTGACATTCTGACATACAAAAATAAATGTTTTATTATACAAAAATTGATTTAAAAAGTAACTTGATCTTTATGTGCGAGAATCTGAAAATTTAGGGTGGTAACAAATGCGCAACATTAATCTACAAGAAGACGTAAAATCAGTTAAATCATCAGATAATTGGAATTCAAATCGTTGGTGAAACATTCTAAGAATAAAGTACACTTACATATGTAATTATCCATGATTACATAAATGGCAAAAAACACGCGACGCTATCCTATCCTCTACTATACAAGAACACTCCAAGTTTTATTTTCAATTTCACTCGAAACCGCTATGTAAACGATATTTCGAGCAACTGGAACCAAAACATCTATTTCCAGACTACCCTGCAACTTTCCTGAACCACATTACTTTGTAATTCTAAAAGTCAAATTATTGTTACGTATAGGTAGTAAATATGAACAAAAGAAGGAAAAAATCTCCCTTTGAAAAATAAATTATTAATTACTTCGTTAATATTAATAAAATAGTCAATGATTTATTTTACAGAGAGGTACTTTTTCATTCTTCTATTCTTCATATTTGCTGCTCGCAGTTTCGAACAAAAGTGTATCCCTGATTGTTTAAACAATCACTTGTTGTATTTGAATACTCCAAAAAAAAATTTTTTTTTTGACATTTTTCTTGCCATTGTGCATTTCTTATAATATAGAACGCCCAATATTATTTAGCAAAGCACAAAAATCATGCTGTTTTTTTCCAGGAATGAGTAAAAAGGGAAAGATACAAATGGGCTTTCTATTTATTTGATTTGCAGCTCCGTTAATCTTGCTTGTTGGTCAGCAATGCTTCCGCTGCAGTTTTGACTGCTATAATAAACATGTGTTTTTATACGTTTCCATTTTTAGAAATAAATAATTTTCTGATATTCTTTTTTTCTTTAAAAAATTAGATGATTTTGATTAGAAGTGGGCTTACCTGTATCACGTGCATTGGATAAAAGTCTATCTAATCCAGGCTGATACTGGATGAACTTTGGACGGATGATACGGCGATATAGAATCAAGGAACCATTGTACTCGGTTGGTGCCATCAACCACACATAAAATATACACTACATCAAAAAGACACGATGTAAAACTTGCTATTAGCTGGATCTGTCTTAAAAAATAATTTTCCAAGCTTTATACCTTGAACAGCCAATAGACAGGAAACCAACAGACGATATATTCAGAGAAGAACTCTACTATGGTAAATACAGAAAAAACGACCCAATAAGTAAGCCACTTTGTGTCATCCTCTTTCTTGGGACTTTCCAACGCCTTCATAGATTGGTACGCAGGATAAACGAAACCGATTATATTACATACTAGCTGTTGTCCCAAGCCAAATACCAGATATAAGGCCAGCAGTACTAATGAGCCTAATAATAAATAAAAATAAATGAATATATATGACCAATATATTCTTATTCATTATATAATATATAAAATATGTTCAAATATATTCTCCGAAATATATTCTCCTACAAATTTGAAATATTATTTACAAAAATTCGCATGATGCGACATAAGAATGTAGAGACCTGTCATGCGATTACATATGATCTGCGGGTAAAGATCAACAGGTTGCAGATTTTTGGAAGAGATGCGCATTCTCTCTTTGTAATATCCGAAGCAAACGTATATACAAAAGAAAAACACGAGAGGAAAAAAATATTGCGTAACCAAGAATGCGCGCGATAACGACTCGCGGGGAAACCGCGAGATCGCATTGACATGTGTGTGCGAGTAATTTATTCCGAAACAACACGCAAGTTGGCCTTCCAATTAATGGAAATGATTGGAAATCCCGGCGTTCATAATCGGCTCCCATCGTACGCAGCAAACTCACCGACAAAGATGTATAATCGGTCGACGCCGGTCTTCTCCTCCGCGCGGGCGAACATTTTTGCCCATGGCTTGCTCTCGTCCTTCAACGCCTTCTCGAGATACTCCTTCACGGCGACGATCCGGGCCATCTTATTTTTATCACGAAAAGACCTCTCGATCAACAAAACTATGCCGTGCGGCGTTGATCACGGATCGTACACCTGTTCGTCACTTAAGAGAGATATGGCCGATAATGACGTTCGATTATTCGATATCGACCGATCGATATACATTCGATACTTCGATTTCCTCTTTCGACTTCTCGAAACTATTCGACTGCGTTCGTTCTATCGTGCGTACATAAAAATACAAAAATTAAATAAATAAAATATAAATTTTGACAAGTTGTGGGATAGACGAAAATCAAGTAAAACTAACAAAGAAATTTTTATTTTTTTACAGATTTATTTTCTTATTAATAAATGGCTGGAATCCTAGGTGTACTAAAAAGGATCTTTTCTCTTCGTGGCGATTTATATACCAGAAATAAATTAGACAGTAAATATAAATTTAATCTTCCAAATTATTCTGAAATGTATGATTTTTTTCTTTTTAATATAGAGATTGTTTAGTAATTTTAACATAAGATATGAGATTAACATGTTGATACGTATAAATTATATTTGAATTGATATCCCAGACAGTACCACGTCCAAAATTGGTGCATAAAACATCTTTAAGATGTTTTCAAGATGTCCTTGAAATATCATAAGATTTCTTAAAGATATCTTAAAGATTTCTTAATGATGTCTTATGCACCAATTTTGGACATGGTACTAACTGGAATATCTTGTAAACATTCGCTCTGTAAAATTATTTCGATAAAATAATAATATACACATTTCGAATTAAAGAATCGTGCGCGAGGCATGTACATCTCTAATATAACTAATCCTTAATCTATGAACATCTTGAAGAGTGGCATGTTACTGTAAAATATATACAATATTTTTAGGAGTCTCCTTGAGCACTTCAAGCGTTCACAGCTGGTCCTAGTCTAGCGTGCGACAGAGGATTGAAGGGAGTCGTATTTCGAATTTCCTTCTCTAGACATGACGTATAAATGTCGGCAGTAAGCTCGCTTAATGGAATCTCTTTATCGTTCTTGGCGGCCTTCACAGCCTCGTCCACTGATTTTCTGATTTCGCCTTCTATCGTCTGGAAAAGACGGTATATATTTATATTTAAATCGATTAAACTAGCAAGAAAATAAATTTTTGATATAACTAATGTTAATTTTTAATTGCAAAATCTCTATTTAAAAAAAAATGTTGACTTACTTTAATTTCATCCGCAGTGACAAGGTTTGCATTGAGAATTCTTTCCTTAAAGCTGGTCAGAGGATCCCGAGTCTGCCGGACTTCCTGCACCTCTTCTCGCGTACGGTAGCTAGTTCCTGGATCCGACATACTGTGTCCGCTGTACCTGTATGTTACAGTTTCCATGACCATTGGTCCTTTGCCAGATGTGCAGTGTTCTATTGCGAATCTCGTGGCTTCCCTCACGGCTAATACATCCATACCATCTACCTGAATGATGAATTCGAACGGTAAATTTTGTCGGTAATAAAAGGAGACTTTCTTTAAGAAAGAAAAATATAATATACCCATATTCCAGGAACATAATCGCCTCTGGTGTAATAGTCCGTGCTTGCAGCGGCACGATCCACGCTAGTACCCATTCCATATCCATTGTTTTCGCAAACAAAGATGCAAGGTACGTCCCACAGCTTTGCCATATTATAGGCTTCAAACACTTGTCCTTGATTGGCCGCACCGTCACCATATAACGCTAAACAGACTCCGCCGTTGTTCTTGTATTTTTGAGCTAAGGCAATCCCAACTCCCAATGGCACCTGAGTAAAGAAAAAAAATTTTTGATTTATGCACCAATAATATCTCTCATTTTACAATCAATGACCAACCTGAGCACCAACAATACCGTTTCCTCCATAGAAATTTTCAGAGTACATGTGCATTGAGCCACCTTTGCCTTTAGCATTACCACCTTGTCTACCTGTGAGTTCTGCAAAAACGCCAAATGCATCAATGCCCATTAAATAGGTCCATCCATGTGCACGATAAGCTGTAATTACAGCGTCTTGAGGCCGCATTGCAGCTTTCATGCCAACTGCACAAGCTTCCTGTAAAAGACATGAAAATATAAGGAGGACTAATTTTGAAAGTATAAGGACTAATTTTTGGAGTAGAATTTTAAAAAGAGTGTGTAAAAAAAAGTAAAATAATCCTTACTTGTCCAGAATACAAGTGACAAAAACCCCGAATAATCTTTTCCTTATACAAATTGCCAGCAGCTGTTTCGATACGACGTATCGTATGTAGCTTCTTGAATAACTCAAGAGCTTCATCCCGAGTCACTGTAACTTGAGTGGACGGTCCCTGGCTCAGCTTGTGCAGACGGAAAGGTTTGGTCTCGAAGGAAGCTTCAGTGGCATAGTTACTTTTCTTGCTGAAGAAAAATGAAGCCACCTGAAAACATTTAATTCAGCATTCATTCATTCGATTAATTTTCATTAAGCTTGACAGCTTGTGTGAAAATGACAGAATAACATTGTGACATGTGCGACAACATGTAAAGTTTACATTCTTTTGTCATTCAGTATATGATATTTCTCAAAAGTTGAAACTTTGACAATAATAACAACAATTGTGATTGATCTTTAAAGTTCAGTGTTGCGAGGCAAACAGCAGTACCACTTATAAGAAGCTGCGGAGCACAAATCGAATCGCGAGTAATAGATAATTACCTCATTCCAGCTTCCAAACTGCTGAAAAGTATGCGAAATAATGATGAAAGAGGAAGACTCATGAAATATAAGTAAACAAAGGAGAAAACGAGTCGGAAATATATAATGAGACTGATAGCGCAATATTGGAAATTAGAGGTCATACGTTCGAACTTACGTTTCGTCGTGAGGATTGCGTGGCAACGTTCCTGAGGCAGTTCGGTATCATTTTTCTTTATACGGAAAGAAGGAAACGTGTGGAAGAAGAGTCTGCGCTTTTCTGAAAGTCGAGTTCTGCCTCTTTACTCTCGTCCTCCAAAAATCACCTCCGTTTGACACCGACCAGCTGACCCGACGAGAACTAGACCGAACACTGAACTAAACAGATGGTGCATAAATTGACGAAAAATGCAGCGGGCGCATTTGCATTTAGGAACGATTCTAGCCGGTATGCAACTGATGCGTCGCGAATAAATTTCGTCGACGTGTATCCTCTGAGTTTTTTACCTAGCGCGCATTTTTTATCTCATGTTTTAGCTCTTTATTGTGTAACGAAAAAATTTTTATTATGTAAGATGACATTTATCACTTGGGTCGACTCTTCAATTTTTCGCCCGATTTTGCAGGTCGAAAATACGTCACTGTTTCATCTCTTCTCGAGCAATTCATGGCGACCAATCAGGAATGGTTATTGCAGGTGTATTCAGAAATTGTACGATAGAGTAGGATTTAATTGATCAATCAGAATAAAGAACTCTGCTCCTTTTTTGTGCTGATTGGTCAATTAAAAACTATTTATCCTATGAGTAGAATTTCTGAACGCGCCCTAATTTCTGACAGATCGACAACGCATCAGCTGTTCTTTCTGCACTTTTTAAAGTGAGATATACGTATATATATGTTTCTCTCTGGTTGGAGAAAGGAAGAGGAAAACAGAGCCAAAAATAAAAATGCAAATTGCAAAATTTTGATACGTGATTATTTTCTGTATATAGCGACACTTATATAAAATAGGCAAGTTTATTTATAATCATCATATATATTATTCTTTTCACCACTATAATCGTCATTTCTATAATTTTTCGACAACAAAAATATCGAAATATTAATATCAATTCGAATAAAACTTGTATATGTCCTTGATAACAAAAATGTATATGGTAAATTAATTAGCATCTTACGTCATATGTCATACTGATATATGTTTTATGACAAAAAAAATGTGTTTTAATCACGCTGGTTTATTGCACCTGTATAAATATATTTTTTTCATGCAGTTCGATCTGTATATCAAGAAATCAAATATCTCAAAATTTTGTCGCGCGTTCATAATTATTTATTCATATTTATTCTTTTAGCAATTGGAATTAAAGCTATCGGTATCGCAAGATTGTCCAAAGGTTTCAAGAATATCAATGTTTTGATCTTATCTTTAAAAAACATGGCGTGTTGCCATCATATCTTTCCCCTCCACGTGCTATGAACATGTGCATGATTGCAATCTCTGTGTTTTGTATATGACAGCATAATCATAATTCTTCAGATCTCGCGCGTTTTTCTTGGAGATATGGAAAACAATGAAAAGTAAGTATTATTATATTCTTTTCTTTTTTTTTCTATAATTGTCAATAACATTTTGTCTTTTGTTATTGTGATTTGTCTTTTTATGTACTGAAAGAAGTGAGATTTTGCAAATTTCAGAAACGCGAGTTGAAGATTTCGTAAAGAGATGGAGGGCAACGAATCGCGCGAATATAACCGGAAGATTGTTTCCTTCAAAGACTTTGGCAGATTTAAACTGTCTGAGAAGAAATACGATGATAATTCTCTTAATATATACACAGCAAGACTGAATGATTTGCGAGAAGATATGCTACGTAAAGCGAAATTAAAATGGAGTAAGTTATATTTGTACATTCTCACAAAACCTTTCTTCAATTATTAAGTGTATTATCTACATTATTCTACTTTATGTTTTAGCTAATTATTCATATGTAGAGGTCTCACGTTTGGCCCTGGAGGATCAAGAAAAATCTTATATTCTGATAGGAATACTCTACAAGGATCAGAAATTGAAACCTTCCTTGTTGCGTGATCTCAGCAAGGAACTGCAGCTGGAAGTTCAACCAAATAAAAATTATGCGTCGACTGACGACAAATTATTTCTAGAGGACGAAACATTACGTATAAGATTAGTAGGAAATCATGTAAACATACAAGAAGTAGTCACGGGACTTATCTGTGCGATACTAGGACACGAATTAGAAAATGGAACATTCTGGGTAGATACTTAATAATTAGTAATTAATAATTAATGATAAGAATACAATATGCTGATGTAAAACTTTGCTCCTAGGTAGAGGATTGGTGTTTTCCAGGATATTGTCCAAAGCCTTGTGTATCAAGTGGCTCATTGGTGGAAAATGCAAAAATCCTGCTAGTTTCTGGATTGGATCTTGTTAATAATGCAGATCAGCTTAGTTTAGATTTACTTTCGGAATGGATAACTGGAATGGTAGGCAGTATCAACACACAAGAGGAAGAAGCAGTAATTGCTAGAGTCATTGTTGCTGGTAAGAAAGCTGAAGTGTATTTTCTAAAAAGCAGTAGCTTAGTTCATGTACAAATAACAAAATATTTAGGGAACACTATTCGTGGTTCTGCAAACATACATCATCACACAGGCTATAATGAAACAAAATCATATGATCAACTTAAGATCAAAGAAGACATAACAGCAATGCACAAGCTTGATTCTTACCTCAGTAATATCCTGCACTGCTGTTGTGTCGTGTTGATGCCTGGAGAATTCGATCCTACCTGCAATTATAGCATGCCTCAACAACCTTTTCATCCGTGTACTCTGCAAAAATCGGCCAGGTAGCAGCGATATGTTTCCGGTCCATCAAGAGCATCCATTATGTAATACTATTCAGATATAATGCAGGTTCAAGAGCATGCATGGCGCGACTAATCCATGGATCGGGGACATCGGGGGTCGTGTCGTAGCCGGTTCTTGTGGCGGACCGATCGTGGATATCATGAAAGTCGCTGGATTATTCGAATTGTCTCCATTGGAATGGCTGGAACGGACCTTGATCTGGCGACATTATGCTCCAACTGGTCCGGACACGCTTCCGATTCATCCGTTCTTTAAAAATGATCCATTCGTTATGAAGGAGTGTCCGGATATATATTTCGCTGGAAATATGGACAAATACGATACGAAATTAATTACAGGTAAGAGAATATTTTTTAAATTCTAATCTAATTTGATCATTGGCTCTTTTGTTCACGGAATAATATTCATGTATGAATTTGTAGCCGATGAGGGGCAAATGATAAGGCTGATATGTATTCCAAAGTTTTCGGAAACAAAGACAGCGGTGCTAGTCAATTTACAAGACTTAACGGCGCAGCCCATTTCATTCGGTGATGGCTGATGCAATTTGTATTATATGAAAGGTAAAATAAGTTATTTATTATATTAGGAAAATTATGATTATAAAGCATCAAAGAATAAAATGTACATAATTTTTACATAAGGGATACAAATCAATATATGAAACTTTACAGGATCTTTTCAAATATATAATTAAATTTATTGATCCGAATATATATATTATATATATTGTAAATATATATATAATTATTTATTACAGTTAACATAGCCCGTTTATTTTTGTGTACTTCTTAATGAAATACTTAACATATATAAATAATTCATGAATAAATAATAAGGATGTTTTATAAAGTAATTTGTATAACAAATAATAACATTCTCTGGTTTCATAAAATCATTCGCGAATACATATATAACTTTCTAATTATCTCTTCACATACATACATACATACCATATAAACATATATATATATATATATATAAACAAATATTTATATTTATACGTATTTTTTTTTAAATTGATTTTGTCTGCAGCTTGTATTGAAAAAATAATACAAGATCTCATACATTTTTTAAAATAAAATATAATATTATTATTTATATAATATTCCCTTTTACTCATTTCTGCAATAATGAATACTGTCTTTCTTTGGCACACATTTAGTATTTCCTTAAATTATTATATCAGTCATAAAATATCATTTTACTTTCGCTAATTGTAAGATGTACACATATGCGTTGAATTATTTTTATTAAACGCAAACGCATGCACAGATTAAGGAAGGAAGACCAGTAGTCGAAATACCATTCATGAAATTCTCAATTCGTATTTCATATCGATCATCATTTAACTTTTCAGAGACCAGTAACGTTGTTCTGATCGTTCTCCCATCGTGAATGCTTACTCTGATAAAAGTTCTGAGTTTCCGAAGCGCAAGATCTGGAGGCGATAGGAATATTCACGCGAACGGCGGCCGATTCTAATCGCTGTTCCCCGTTCGATGAATCTTGAGCTTCGGAGCCGCTCGTCTGCTGATCCTCCTCACTTCTCATGGCGCATATCACATCCGTAAGGGCCACTATATAATTCTTAGCCAGAGTTAGTGTCTCGATCTTTGAAAGTCGTCTCTCTTTTGTGACGTGCGGAATCACCTCGCGTAGAGACTAGAAGTAAGAAGAAAAATCATTAATATATGTCCTAGTAAGATTAATGTATTATACAATATTGGGTATTTTTCGTACAATTGATTCCTCAAGGAAGATCATGAGACATGAAAAGGATTTTTTCTCTGCTTTTTATAATATAATATATCCTATAATATATTCTATAATATATTTTATAATATATTCTATAATATAAATTCTATCAATCTTTTTATATGAATTTTTTATCTATATATAATAATGTATTATTTTATATTACACACTTGAAACGCGTCATTCAGGCTATGCATTCGCATGCGCTCGCGTTCATTGCTCTCCAGCCTCCTGAGGGTTTTCTCCCGTGCCGTATTTCCTCTAGATGGTTTTGACAATTTCAGTCCCGACGATTCCGTTCTTTTCGTCGCTCGTCGCACGCCTCTACCTCCCTGCGATGATTCCGTCGTCCACTTTGTCTCCCACGTGTTCTCGTTTGTCACCTTAGATCGCATAGTATATTCTTTTCCCCTGATAAAACAATTAAAATTTCTGCTCCGTGATTGCGAGTTTAAGATAAGATTTTTAAATAAAGATTTTAAGATAAGATGCATATATTCTTTTGTATTATCTCAAATCTTTTATATATTATTTTACAAAATTAAAAAATTGATTAAAAATTAAATCTCGAGAGAGAGAAGAATGAGAATTGAATTAAAAGTTGATGCCTAATATTTTCTATGACTTACCTTTTGCGAATGTTAGGATTGGGTTGTTGATTAATCACTGTGGAAAAAAAACGATTCGTGATCCTTCTCTCACGATTAAAGCCCCATTCACTGATTTAATGCATTTTAAATAATTACACAACAAATTTCCACATCAGAGTTTTTTCGAAAATTTAAATGAATCTGTCGCAACTCGGTGCCGCGTGTACTTGTTGAGCCACGCTGGAACAACGACTGACGTCGCGACGTCGGGGTGCGGCCGGCGCCGCCTTCCACCCTCGGTATTTTATTACGTACCCCGTGTTCTTTTCTTTCGATAACACCGTTTGTTTCATCGATGCTTGTATGTACAACATATTTCTTTAGCGCTGTGAAATAACAAATCACATTTTATTTCAATAACATTGCAAAACGATACTTTAATATGTATTTTGAGAGTTCACTTTATATGAAATTATTGTAATAACTTCACTATTCGTACGCGTTATTTTTTTCTCAAAGCTTTTTTCACGCGTGACTTTATATGGACACATTCTCCAAGTATTATTTTAAATAAGCGTGTTTAGTTTACATTTTTTTTAATTCGCTTTATTTTTTAATCGTAGATCGTGGATGAAAAAAGTGAGCCGTGGGTGTTTTACGCCTCGTACACCCTATATATACAATGTTCTAATCTATATATATGAGCGGGCTACAGGTGGGCGTATGACGTAATTCGCCCACGCGGACTCTCCTATCTCTGCCTATTATCGCTCCACTATCAACAACTTGGGGATGACGGGGCTTTAATATGGATAACGTTCGAACGCACACCTGTTCGAATTTACAATTCGCATTTGACGATAAACATATTAAAAAGCTCTTTTCGCATATAATGCGATTATGGAAAAGCAAGATAAAATTTTTATCTAATTTAATAGGTTGATAACGAGCTTAAAAGACTTCATTTTTTTTTTTTTTTATTTATCCATTTTACATTTACCGCAACAAGCGTCTGTTTTTTCTAATTCAGATTCCTTATGATTAGCGGTCCATGGCCCGAGGCTGATATTTGCGTAAAAATCCATGGGATAGGGTTGTTCCATGTCAAACTCGGCCATCCTAAGAGCAACAGCACCTTCGTATGGTGTTAGGAATGGTTTCTCGAACGCAACACCCCAGTCGATGCTCAATCGTGGACATGCAATCTTGAATAAAACATATTTTTCAACATATATTTCGACACAGAATCTTTTAAATTACATCAAAGCGATTAAAAAATTTGTTCGCTTTTTTCTCTATATATAGCTTATTTTCAAATTGTATATATATACATTATTTATTTTTTTTTATAATTTATCTCACAGCTCTTTATTAAAATAAATATGCTAATTAAAAAAAAAACGAATAAACCTTGTAATCAATTTGATGATTATCTTATGGAAATGACCCTACTTGTATAAAGGCATCGATGCCTTTGAACAGTTTGATCTTGTCTGGAAATATTTCCGAGAGCAATATTACAACATTTTCCTTTCCCAAGGCATTAATTCTATTCTGCAAGGTTTTCAGTACATTAGGACTGCCCTGCCTGCCCAAAGTGCCGAGTATTAAAGCATATTTGTCGGTTTTTGCGGCACGTTGTATCGCCTCGTATCTAGTCTTCAGCATCCTTTCGTGATCGTAGAACTCCTCGGTCAATTTTTTCGCGTACGGATCGTACTTGAACGCCCTCAGCTTAGGATTGGCAATCATTGCAGCTTCCAAGTGAAAACGACCATCCCCTATGTACATTATTGCATCAGCACAGCGAACTTGTGGAGCTGTGCATCCTAAAATCTTTTAAAAGAAATTAATTATAAATATTATCCCCCTGCATGCATAAAAAGAATTTATTGTACGTACTTCTCCAGGACTAAGTGGTTTGCTCTGCGGCACTGAAACTTCGTAACCTTCTCTCCTCAATTCTGATGCTACTGCTTGTACCGTTGTAGCAAATTGTATTGTACTGACTAGTGCTAACTTTGTAGTAACAGGTAGAGTGACTCGCAGACAATCTACGCAATGTGCAATATCGATTTTTATATTAACAAACACATAGAGCACTTTGATATCAGCAGTCTGATCTACAGGTATAAGGCACGAGTGTCCATAGTGGATCAGAAAGTCTGCGTCCAATGCTCGTGTAGTGTAATCGTCCACACAACAGGCTCCTGTAATATGATATTGTGAAAATATTGTGCTTGTAAGGTATCGAAGTAAAATATTTGTCTATATTTACCATAAGTAACATCAGCCATAATAACAGTTTCTGCTTCAGTGAAGTCTTCGATGATGTCTGCTATAGTTGTGGCATACATTAGAAGACCTTCTGGCATTTGGAGAACCACTCGTTTCGCCTTGGACTCCCTGATTCTCCATATTGTCTTGTGTATCTCAAAATTATAATTTGACGGTAAGGCTGCTATGGCAGAGTTCAGTAAAGGATCGTTCAAGAGTTCCTCAGGAATTTTACTAGCCCTCACAGGAGCCTTGAAAATTTTACGAATGGGTTTTGCCTTGATGACCACCACAGAGTCACATTGCTCAGTCATCTTCTGAAATTTGTAATCAATTTTCCAAATATATTCTGTGCTTTTATGATATTTCAACACTAAGTCTGCATAAATGTCACGTTGTGATTCAATTAAAACCAATCATTGTAAAACCTTTGACTTTCAATATTAATTTCAATTATTTATTCTTTACAATAAAATTATAAGTAACTTTGAGCGATTTTCTAAAAACAGGTTATGTCAATACTATCAATATTAGGTTATGAATCATGTTAAATACTTGATACTTCTGACAAAATTCACACGTGCGAGCTATAATAAATTTTAAATTTTATAGTATATTTTGCAATTATATTGAATTGATATACTCGTGTCAAATTAATAAAAAAAAAAATAGTGTAGGTCCCACCGAGATTTGAACTCGGATCGCTGGATTCAAAGTCCAGAGTGCTAACCATTACACCATGGGACCTCGCTTGAAAACTCTTCTCTAGATCGTCTACTAAAGATTTTCATTCATATCATATGTTAATTTTACTTTTTTATTACTTTTTTCTTTTTTTTCCCCTTTCTTTTTTTTTCTTTTCTTATTCAGCTGAAATTTTAAGCTCTCCTTTTCAATTCTCTGTTGCCTCCTTGCTTCAAATCTTTGCTTCGATTGATCAATTTAAATCTAATCTAATCTGATCAAAAGTTCATTAAAATTTGAAAATTTTTAAATATTTCTTGGGTTTGTTCGTTTTATCTGCAGGTTATCGCTCTGTAACTTTTCACGTCTTCACTTTAGAAAAGGTTACGGAATTGTGCAGCAGTGTCCTTATACACTCTCAAGCTCACTTTCCATTTCCATTTCATTCTCGATCGTTCGTGTGTTCGGATGGTTTGAATAGTTTTCGTCATGGATGCTTACGATATTTTCAAAAAGCTCACACGCGGTTGTCATTTCGATTTCAAACGCTTTCCAGAAGGCGCAGAATTATTTGGGGTAATTAATTATTTGTTCTTTTTTTCTTAAATTTATTTACAATATTTTTTAGCAACTCTTAGAAATTAGGTTAGGATCCTAACCTAACTTAGATTAGATTTTAAGCATATACGCGTGTTTTCATGTTATATTATTTATTATATTTTTATTATAATATTTTTCAGTTGGTTTTAATTATTTGTTCTTTTTTTTTAAATTTATTTGCAATATTTTTGAGCAATTCTTAGAAATTAGGTTAGAATCCTAACCTAACTTAGATTAGATTTTAAGCATATACACGTATTTTCATATTATATTATTTATTATATTTTTTATTATAATATTTTTCAGTTGGTAATTAATTATTTGTTCTTTTTTCTTAAATTTATTTGCAATATTTTTGAGCAATTCTTAGAAATTAGGTTAGGATTCTAATCAAACTTAGATTAGATTTTAAGCATATACACGTGTTTTCATACTATATATTATTTATTATATTTTTTAGTTCCGAAAACCGAAACCGTTAAAAAAAGATGACGCAAACATTAAGAAGGAAAATATAAACAATGAACCGCTAAAGCATGATAATAATGGAAAGAGAAAGCGATCTGAAGATAAAGACGAGGATGTTGAGGAGATAACATTGTTGAACGATTTGAAAGATGAAAATGTTCCAAATAAGAAACGTAAAAAAGTCATGACTGCTGACAAGCTATTGAAGTTGGAACAAGAAAAGGTGTGAAATTTATATAATGAACTAAATATGTATAAGTAAACAGAAAATTTCTGTGATTGTATCTAAAACGCTTCTTATTTTTCAGATAAATCAAATGAGGAATGCGAATCGTATTTCAGTTACGGGTAGCCGTGTACCTAAATTAATTACAGAATTTGATGAATTAAGGACGAATTATCAAGTGTCAGAAAACTTGTTGAAGAATATGAAAGACAGTGGATATGTGGTTCCTACACCGATACAAATGCAAGCAATGCCGTGTATGTTAGAGGTAAAAACAGTTTTACAACAAAGTTATAAATAAAATTACAGATATTTTAGTTTCTTTTTCTATCATTGTTAACAGGGTAGACAAATATTGGCTTGTGCTCCAACAGGCTCAGGGAAAACTGCAGCATTTTTGTTACCTGTCATTCATAGTTTACGAGGACCGCAAAAGAAAGGTTTTCGTGCTGTCATTCTAAGTCCTACAAGGGAATTGGCCAAACAGACATATAGAGAATGCCTGAAATTGAGTGATGGTTATGACTTTAGAATTCACATAATTGGCAAAGCAAGTCAGGCTCTTACCAAATATGGATCCTCAAGCTCGCAAAAGTTTGGTGAGTGCAGTAGATACAAGGATTTTGATAGGAATTTCTGATTTTTTACTTTTATTACTTTTAACAAATTTGTTGCAGATATTCTAATTACTACACCAAATCGATTGGTTTTTCTTTTGAATCAAGATCCTCCAGCCATTTCATTAAACAAGTACGTCTTACAAATAATTATAATTCATTGAATAATTATGATTTGATTTTTTTTTTTGACATAATATTTGTTTATTTTTACAGCGTAGAATGGTTGATTGTGGATGAAGCAGATAAACTTTTTGAAGAAGGGATACGCGGATTTAGGGAACAATTAGACGAGATTACAAGAGCTTGCACCAATACAAATTTACATCGGGCTATGTTTAGTGCAACAAACACCCCTGTAGTTTCAAAGTGGTGTCGCCATAATATGAAAGGACTTGTGACAATAACAGTTGGACATAGGTATAAATATAAATGTTATTTTAAATTTGAATAAATTTAAAAAAAAAGTAAAAATTATTAATAATTTTCTTCTACTTACCATAGAAATGCAGCTACAGATATGGTAGAACAAGAACTCGTGTTTGTTGGCGACGAAAGAGGCAAATTGCTGGAATTAAGAAAGATAATTCAGAAAGTACGATCAATTAATAATTTAATTGCAATACTTTAATATACTTTTGAAGATGGTATATGACTATAATTTTTTTTCATTATTAACAAAGGGTATATCACCACCAGTTTTGATATTTGTACAAAGTAGAGAGCGAGCTCAAGAACTTTTCTGGGAGCTTATGTTCGACGGTATAATGACGGACGTTATTCACGCCGATAGAACAACGACGCAGGTAATAATAGTTAACAAGGAAATACTTTCGCGCACGTAATTGCGTTCGTAAAAAATTGTAATGCATTTATCATATTTTATTTTTCCAGCGGGACAATACCGTACGCGGCTTCAGAGAAGGACATATCTGGGTCTTGATTTGTACAGAACTAATGGGTAGAGGTATAGACTTCAAAGGCGTAAATCTCGTTATAAATTACGATTTCCCGCCATCCGTTATCTCTTACATTCACAGAATAGGTATATATCAATGGATACTTGGGTCAATGTTATCCCATTTCTTTATAATGTGTGGAATATTACGCGTTGGAGTTGATTCTCCTTCCTCCTGCTATTGTTAAGCATACTCCAAACAGGAACTTTGACACACCTCTTTTGTGAATTATTTTGCATATTGATGGTACTAAAAATAGAGAAAAAAGTCACGTTCTTTCATAGAGTACAAAGAATAGTTATCAATTCGTCTTATCACTATGTAACTATGTAAGATTGCATTTTCACGAAACATGTTAAAGAAACAGGATGACATTGAGTCTGTGAAGGTGATCATTTTCTCATTTGAATTAATTTTCCAGGTCGTACTGGCCGCGCTGGTCACAAAGGAAAGGCCGTAACGTTCTTTACTTTACAAGATAAGGTGAACTTACGGAGGTACGTGTGTTATACTGTCTCTTGTGTCCAAGTTGTATGTATCACAATGAAGCAATGATATATAAAGTATTGCGTGCCTTGTTTCTCTTCTAGTATTGCGACAATCATACGCGATTCCGGATGTTATGTACCGGAATATCTGCTGACTCTGAAGAAGCACAATAAGAAAGAACGACGTAAGCTCGAGCATTCGGCACCTAAGCGCGAAAGGATCTCAACCGGCCCCACGTACAACCGACGTAAGTGGAAATCGCATAAAAACAAAAAGAAATTAGAGCCAGAGAAGTAGTAGTGAATAGAATAATTATATGGTTCTTTTACATATTGTGTAAAATAGATGCAAGACTTTCAGTAAAAGAGAAGAATTTTCTATTTGTGATATCTGAATAAATGTGTAGTCTTGAACTTTTAACAGTTTTGTATAAATAATTTATTCAAATATAACAATATGATTTAGCATTTTTACATAATATACTGTAGTATTTTTACATGAAAATCCCTATTTAATATGGCATTCCTTTGTATATGTATATATATAAATATTTTAATGCAAATCTTTAACAATCGTATATATAAGTATATACTTTTTAAACAGTAATATTTTTATCAAAATACTTTGTCATGGACTTGTAAGCAGAGATTACTTTGGATATAGTACACTGCATTACAGAGTACTGAATAATTGACATAGTATAATTTGTTTTCCAAAGGCACGAAATTGATGTTTTTTTTATCCCTAACAAACCTATCTTATTATTTTATTGTACATTTTCACAGATTGGCAAATCTCACTAGCTTTTAAAAGGCGATTTACGTTTCAAACAGCCAATCGCACGGTAATTTTGGCATTTTATTTGCTGGCCATGGAAGATATCCTGCCGTCTTGAATACCCAATAATCATACGTCACTTTGGCTATCAAGCCTATTAAAAGTATCACTTCAGTAGCAATAATATAATATATATAATCCGTCCAGTCTCCCGGATACACGCACATCTTTGATGGTTCTAGATCAACAACTTTGTCCTTTACATTTTCACACATTACTTCATCGGAGTCCAGTATTCGTGTTTGCAACCATGCCTAAAACGAAAGAAAATAAAAATTATTTTCGTCATTAAAATTATATTTTATACTTGTATGTCTAATTTTTCGTTTGCTTACAAAAATCATACCTTTAAATGTTTTGCGGTATTACAATCACAATGCAATTTATTGCCTCCTAGTCTGACTAAATTTCTTGAACTCATGAAGTTTTTATTGTGTGCACTTGGACTTAATATGTATGTTGGCAGCTAAACATATATTGTTACAATTAGGATTTGCATTTGATATCTTCAAAGAATTAAATTATGTGCTTTTTCACTCACTGATTTAATTTTATTGTATCGTAAGCTTAACAAAGCGTAATTATCCAGAAACTTGGAACCTTCCAGCTTGTTTATCGAAGAAATATTGTTATAGTCGGCATAAAATTCTCGTAGATCCTCGTAACACGGATTAGTGCTCAGGTCATCTAGAACTGTGATCTGAAAAAAAAAGAACAATTTACATTACATTGAAATTAATAGATACACAGTATAAGGAGTATTACAAACATACATTATTGTAGGAAACATTAAGCGATATTGTGTTTTGTGGCAATTTCTCGGGTAATTCTGTCAATTGCATATTACTGCAATCTACATTTACAGCATGAGTAGGTGGCTTGCCTTCGATAATATCCAATCTTTTAATGTCACATTGACATTGCCAGGTATCACCTTTTGGACATTCCGTTTGCAGCTGCAAATCAAAACTAATTCAGATTATGAATGAAATCTTACAATATTACACACACATACAGACATACATACATGTATTGAAACATACCAAACTCAGATAAAGCACTTGTGTAAGAGGTACACGTTCAGTGGTATTGAACCAATGCCATGTCGCCAAGGAAGAGCACACTGTCTCGTTTTCACGATTGAAAGTGATTTGCTTTTCACCCGTTTTATTGATATACTGATATACATCATGGCATGAGAGTGTGTTTGTTCCTTTACAGAAAGAGGCAGAGTATATTTTAATTCAAGTATACGATTCCATGAAGAGATACCAGTGTTTGATATTTTACCTGAAATATCTAGCCAGAATTCCCGTCCGTTCATCGTATTCAAAGCTGGAAGGTGAGTGAGTTTATTATAAGACAGATCCAAAGTGGTGAGCTGCGCTAATCGTATCAGCGAATTGTTCTCTACCTCCATCAGCGCATTATTCGAGAGATTCAAGCACTGTGTGGGCGTCATCATAAGAAATTGTCCTTGTACCTTTTTAATCCTACCATCGGTTATAGCCAGGGACTCGAGCATCCTCCAACGAACCTCGCTTACATTGAATACATCCAACGTTGCATTACGTATATGTACATAACTTATATTTGAATGTTGAAATCCTGCAGCAAAATAGAGATTGTAATGACAATTTGTCACATGTAACTTTATCATTCGACGAGATTCAAGCCAGAGATTTCCTCGCATCACGATGCTCACCTATGCAATTAAGGCCATTATCTAAAGTCTGTTCGTTTATATTGCAGCAAAGCGCAGCGTTGCCCTCTGGTCCATTCGCGAGGGTGATCCTCTTGCATGGACATCTGTCAGATGACTTTGGACAGTCCACAGGCTGTCTATAAAAACACGGCTCTGGAAGGGAGTTAGAAACTCCACTGGCCGCCTGTTGCTGATCCTCCTCCTCCGTCCGCGCGCTGGCCATCCCAGCGCAAAGACACATTATCATGGCTAACCACTGCATCTGCATACGAATGCAATTATTGCAGTTATCGTAAAATACATAGCTATGTGAATATTTCAAAAGCGCGCGAAATGACAGTTTACTTTCGACATCGATCGCTCCAGGGTGTATCGATCCGCGAAGACGACTCGTCGGTCAAAATACTCAAAATTAATTCGTCCAGATCGCTGTTTTTGTGTAATTGTGACAATGCACTTTAATTAACGGCGCTGCAACAGCGTGTTTTTCCCCGGGGCTAATTCAATTAGCATACTTGATTATTCGCGCTCGGCCTCGCACTTTCGTATAGCACAAACGAATTAATTCGTTTAACCGCGGTCGCACTCGGGTCGTCCGGATTGACCTGTTGATTAATCAAAATTGCTCGGTCGGAGGGTTCGCGCGCGTTCATTACACTCGCTCTTGACTTGACATTTGACGCGCGAGTACGTCAATTATAGATGAGGAAGGAAGGGAGTGTAGAACATTTATATTTATGTTCAACTGTGCTTTTTATCATTTTTTTTCAAAATAATTTTATTTTTTTTTGTTATTTTCTAACAGGAACTTTGATGATGCTATTTATCGATGATTATTCGCATCGCGATGATAATATGTATATTTTAATATGCTGCATAAATTTTGCAATTCACAATAAGCTCGATGTATTTATAAATATGTGCATATTTTTATATTTTCTATTTTTGAGTGTAATTATTGTAATTATTGTAATTATTCTAATTTTGTAGGCTAGAAATCTTCTCAGGTTTAAAATTTCGAATTTTCTGATTGGCTTCGCCATTTTTGGTTAAAGAAGCTCTCGACCAATCGGCGAAAAGTCGAGGAGAATATCTAGAGACTTTTGTTAAACTATGCTCGAGATTGAGAGAGACCTCTCAAGATCATCTGTGAAACTGTTCAAACGTCAGTTTTGACAGGAAGAACAAAAAGAAAGGAAAAGAAAAGAAAAGAAAAGAAAAAACGGACAGGAGGAAGAAAAAAAACGCCCCGTCTCGAGCGGAAACGTCAAAGAGACGTCAAATTCGATGACGTAAAATTGATCTTTCTCTCTCCCCTCTATAAAATTGGACCTGTCGACGTCATTTAATCATATCAGATATGGACACCGATACGGCATGTATTGGTGATACCACGAGGACGTCGACGACGACGATGACAAAGAGGACGAATGGCCAATTTATAACCTAAAGTCTCATGTATGATTCTCTCCTCTTTCTCGTCATGTGACATATTATATTACAGCGGTGCACAGAGATATGTTGAAACACGTTATGATGGACGACCCGTACGAACTAAACTTGAAGAATGTGGTCAGCTGGATCGCGTCTAGCGCGCTAATTTTCGGCGCAGTTGTACCGTATATACCCCAATACAAGGAGATCAAGAGGAAGGAGGATGCGGAAGGATTCTCCCTCTACGTTTGTCTCACCCTTCTAATCGCCAACACGCTCCGCATATTGTTTTGGTTTGTACCTACATGATTATGATGTTTCATCAAGCGTGTATTCTTCCATAATTTTCCATATTCCATTTCTATTCATTGAACAATAAGAATAAAGCATATCAAATAAGGTATTCCTTGCTTGCATTGACATTATTTTTCTCTTACAGGTTTGGAAAGCGTTATGAGCTTCCACTGTTATTGCAAAGTTTACTTATGATTGTGGCGATGTTTGTTATGATTAAACTCTGTATCAATGTGCAAAACAGAACGCAGATTATCAAAGCAAAAGAGCGTGTACTTACAGGTGGAGAAAACTTTAATTATTGTGAAAATTAAATTTATATATAATAATGTGTGCACACTCTTATATGCTGATAAGAGTGTGCATGCATTATTATATATAAATGGTCTAATGATAGATTTTTCTATTTTGCAGATTTTGACACTAGATTTTTTTGGAAATGGACAGACTTCAAGTCCTACCTAGGTTTCATGATTCTGTTTGCTGGTACAGGCGGCCTATTAACATATTTATTTTTGGATATACCAATATTTATTGAGATTATTGGGTTCTCAGCGGTATTGACAGAGGCTATGCTAGGAGTTCCACAATTTCTTCGTAACTCGTCTAACAAATCGACCATAGGGATGAGGTAAATGAGAAATTTAGATAAACAAAAAAGCATATATATCATATCTCTCTAAGAATCAGATTAATTTATTTTATTACAATTTCAGTATAGCTATGGTGGCGATGTGGACTGTGGGTGATGTTTTCAAAACGTGTTATTTTGTTCTGAGGGACACACCCTTGCAATTTCAGGTGTGTGGTGCTCTTCAAGTTACGATTGATATCGCAATTTTAGCACAAGTGTACCTTTATAAAACTAGTAACAATGTACATACGAGAGCTCCCATAAGATCGGACTGAAGATTGTTCAGCAAGTTATTTCTCATCTAGATTTGTGGATGCAGAGTTTTTTTATTTCTCAATGCCGAGAAATTGAACAAAATCTAAAAAGAGAATATATTTTTATATTCATTAAACATGAATCGCAAAGCGAGGTATATGTATCTGAAATAGAATAAGTTTCCGAACATTTACCAAACAAAGTGCAGTTAATATTTTGATAACGATTTAGACGTTTGTCAATTAATATATAAAAGAATAATGTATATATATATATATATAATCATTTTATAAAATTTATATTTAATGTATTATTCACATTCAGTACCAAATGTAACCATTCAGTTCCTCATTTTACATTTAAGTATAATTATCACACATTATATTTTATTACATTATATTAAATTGTATATAAGCATTATACATATGTACTTTCAAATTTTTAATGAGAATATACAGACGAATGGCGGGAAACTAACACGTGTCCGTTGCCTAGTAACGAACTGCCAACAAAAAAACTTTGTGAATGAGCAGACATGGCATAGCTACATAGCTTCCTTCATTTAAGGAAGCAATGACAAATTTTTAACGTCACCGAATCATATTTTACATCGCTCAAAATTTTTTAAGAGAGAAAGTAGCTTCTGTTTCAATAATTATTTCTCATTAGACTGTAATCACTGAAAAATTGTATATTTGAATTTTTCATCAGAAATGACAAAATGCATGAGAAAGGAGGTTAATCTAAAAAGCAGCAGTGAGTATAATTTATTGCATAAAAATTTTCAAATTGGAAAAACATGATTAAAATTGTACATCATTATTTGTAGCCTACAATCAAACGGGACAGAACTATTTCCAGCAATTGACGGCGTATAATTCGATGAGCTCGCATTTGCGACGCATTTTATCTGCGAAGAGCGTAGTCGATTCGAGAAATAAAAATATTTGTTGAAGAAAAATCAGCGGTGCAAGGTACAAGAAATCTATGATAAGAGATTCTGTGCGCGTCCTGAAGTAACAGACGAAGTGATCGATAGATTGGCCTATGATACTCTGCATCATCCAATGGTAAAGTTTTATAATTAACATGTACTAGCTCTGAGAAATTATATTCGAATTTTTAATTAATTAATCGCGCAATTTCAAAGACATTCTATAACAATGATTTTAAATGTTGGTACTTTAAAATTTTTCACACAGGATATATTAAGAATGAATTTTAATTCGGCGCATCTGGATTGTTGCAATTGTAATCCAGATCATCAGCAATTAAGAGTTTGTAGTGACCGAAAGTATTGCGAAGATAGTGATCGAATGGGTCACGGATCGACTTTGAAGAATCGAAGAATGGCATCACCGGTGACTACACGTTCATTGAAACGTAAAAAGTTTACACCGAGTTCCGTTTGTGCAAAAAAAGAATTAAAATCCATGCGAGAGATCCCTCATGAAATCGGTCCATCGACATGTTACTCGCAACAGAGGTAAAAACGGTGTTAAACATTAAAGTTTCGAGCTACTTTACACTTTGGAAATTCAAATATGGAAAGGGCTTTTATTTTGTTAAATGTAAAGTATAGAGAAACTTTTAAAATATATATATATATATATATATAAATAATATAAAAATAATTTTATTGAATCTATATAATTTCTTATTAGCCCTTTTCATACCTGAATTTGCATTTATATATCAAAATCTTTTCGATTTATTATTTTACACTTTGGGTTTCAAAATTTTCTATTTTTCCATAATTTTCCAAGTAGCAAAAAAATAAATAAAAATATTTCAAACTCAAATATTATAAACTTATTCATTAAAAAACGTTTTATTTTAATGTTAATGTAAAATGAATAGAAACAAATTTAATTATTTTAGTATTTTTAAAATATCTTCGAAAATGAGTTTTTAATTAGATTTAAACATTTTTTATACATTTCTTTGCTACTTAGGTTTGCGTGCTTTTAAAAATTCAAAATATTTGCATTTAAGTTGAATTTTTTATCCTTTTTCTTTTTTATTTCTATAGAAAATGTAGATACGACAAAAATTCGTTCTTCGTCCCTTGCACAACTACTGCATTAGACTCGGTATTTAAAACAGGCTCTCATTCCCCGATGCAAGAAATGAACGATCGTCGCTCCTCGGATGCCTCACAGTGCTATGATTTTGATTGTTTAAACGACAACCAATCTGGCGAATCAAAGTTCGTTTCGAAACAACTTTTATCCCAAAAAGAGGAAGAGAAGAAATATGTCAAATTCATTTACGACATTACCAAAGAAATAATACAGAAAGGTCTTTATACCAATAATGATCTGCGAAATGTGTTCAAGAAGCATATTGATCGATATAAAGGAATACTAAACATGGTATGAATAATAATGTATTATTATTGTATAAACGCGAAAAGTCTCAATAATATTTCTCAATATCTTACAACTTAAAAAAAATGATCTCCACATTTTTTGACGATATTATTAAGTCGCTCTTATTTTTTGCAATATAAAAGATTTTGGACATACAAATCTTTTCTTTGCTCCCCAGAATAAAATGCTGTACGAGGTCTATCAGTTAAAGATCTCCTTGAACATGATGGACGAGGATTCAGATACAGATGATGAACTGGAGGATCTGATTCACGCGCAAAAATTGTTGAGCGTATTGGAAATCAGACCGCCTACCCCACCGAAAGTTTTGAATGACAACAAGGTGATGGAGAAGTTGGAGTCTTATCGGAAAATAACTGACAGATCGAGCATTCGAAGAACAGTGACGTTGATCGACGCGAATCCCGATCTACTCGTCACGGAGAGAGACGTACTGATGTCGTTGGTGGAAGTGGGCATCGATCCCAAACAGGTTCAACATATCTGCAAGAATCTGCGCCACAAGAGCAGAGACACGGTAAGATAAATAATTTTTCCAAGTAGCAAACTGACATCATTAGACATTAAAATGACTTATGCTTGTTATCTGGGGTGATTCTCATTATTTCCTCTCTATTTAGCCGCAAGCAGATGTAGAAGCGTATCCTTTAGATCTGGAAGTGGACGAGCCAGAAGAACTACGAGATAATGACAGACAGGTTTCTCCCAAGATCGAAATAGCTGAGGACACCTATGATTCTGTCGCGGATGATTCGCTCAAGGATTCAGAGAAACAAGAAGCCAGCTCTTCAACATCGAACTTAGTGTCTGTACAAGATGAGACAGTCGAAACAATAAAAGAGGAGATAGACTCTCAAACTATAGTCGAAAATGTAGAATCTCAAACTATATCCGAAAACGACAAGGTGGACTCGTGAACCGAACTGTTAAATATTTTGGGTTTCACCGGAAACTTGTTTCTATTTTTGTTATCAAGAAACATTTAATTTCAATGCATTATTTGTTATCATATTGCTTTTGTACGCATATCATGCTTGAATAACTCATTGTGTTAGCAACGAAATAAACATTGGATATATGCAATTATTTAGTTCGCTTGGTAAAAAAATTGACAAAATCGCCGATATTAATAATGTAGTATAAGAATCAAGATATACACTTTGATCTTATTCATGTACATGTTTCTTTTATTCATATATGTATATTTGTTTCCTTACATTGAATTTCACGTTTGTCTGAGAATTGTTTGTCGTATTTTCAACAAGTGAATTCTTACAACAGAGAACTCTCAGAAAATATACACACAGTGGAAAAATAGATATCTATATTTATACCCGTACATGTACAACCTTTTGTGCATATCTATGTACAGATATACAAATATCTATGTACAGATATACATGTTATGAATTTGTACAGTAGGAGATCTCTACATTTGATATATCCTCTGGACATATCTTTAATATACATATTATAGCATAATTTTTTCATGCTAGAAAAAGAAAAGAAAAAATAGCTGCATACGATATGTCTTATGTACTTTGTTCGCTTTTATCTACATCTATTGGCTCTGCTTGTGCATTCTGTTTTGTACATTAGTTTCATTCCCTTTTCCGGTATAACTGAGGTATTTTACAGTTATTTAACATATCGAGAAGGTAACTAAGTAATAATATCTCATTTGGTATCTATCTGTAATAGAATTCAATAAATGTCAACTACGAATATAACAGCGGTGGTTCTCTCGTCACCTACATGCAAAAACAAGTTATATAAAATGTTAAATATAACATCAAAATAAATTTCATTTGTTTTCGAACTACACGTTTTCGTATTTAATTATAAGAATTATGAGAACTTTTGTACTATGCATTTGATACTTTTAGTACAAATAAACTAACACACATTCTATGAACATTCTATAAAAAAATTCACAGATTATAGAGACTCCCTAAATAAACTCATCAAAATTCTATATTTTTTCTATATAGTTTTTTTTAAATTAATATAATAAAATGTCTCTCAATTTAACACTACTCTATAGAACAAAAAAAAACATATTGAAAACATTAACTCGAAAAAGAAAAAATATATAATACGTATATAATGTGCGTGTACTAGTACAAACAACATAATAAAAAACTAAATTTCATCTAACAATTGCTTATAACTATTGAGTCGTTTTCTTATAGCGTTAAAAAAGATTAATACGGCACATGTATCCAACTCATTAGCTGCCATCGGACGCGTTTGAAGAACAGTCTTCAAGTTCCGGCGCGTTTGGACCCCTGTCTATTATGCGCATAAGTTCTGTTATATGTCTTATCGTAAAATCTGGTTTGGGATCGTCTCCCAAAAGACGAGGTTTATCTGCAAGAGGTATCCACACGGTCCCGCGCAGTCCAGCCTCAATTCCACCTGTATATCGATAATTATACAGTTCATTATTATTAAACTTCTGTTTCCCTTTTTTTAAAATAAATTAACTTTAAACTACCTCTCTTTCTCTTCTGTCTCCATCTGGATAATTCTAAGATTGTTAAAACTGTTTGATTACAGCTGAAATTACAGCATTGAACTCTTGTTTTTTTAAAACAAATTTGATTTTAAGCAATCTCTTTTGCTATCTTCTTCTGGATAATTATGAGATAGTCAGATAGTTAAACAATTGCTTGTGATTTTATTTTACCTAAAATATCGGTCTCCAACTTGTCACCGACCATGATGCATTCTTCGGGTCTCACGTTAAGAAAGTGGCAGGCCTTATGAAATATTTCCGCCTCCGGTTTCTCCCACGGCAAATCACCGGACACCAGGATGATATCGAAGTACTGTTCTAGCGACAGCTTACGTATTTTCTCCCATTGAGCGTTTGACGGACCGTTGCTGATCAGGCCTATCAGATACTTCTTTCTCAATTGACGCAACATGGAAATCGTGTTCGGTGCCAGTGCCAGGTAATGATATCTTAAATAGAGCCATCTTTCGTAAATCCTTTTCGTCAAGAACGAGTATTTGTCGCCCAGCGCCTTGCTCCAGAGAATGCTACGCCATGCGTCCAGAGTAAGAGTCGCGTTGTCCGGACACTTTCTGAATTGTTTCAGAAATGCAGTCGTTATCTTGGCAGACGCCTCTTCCGGGATGCCATAATCCCGAGTGAATTCCTCAGCTAGCTGCAGGTAAATGCAGGTATACGCAATAGAATTAACTCTATGTAAATGTTTGGTGATAAAGAATGACGAGAATGAAGAACTGAAAATGTAAAGAAAGAGATAAAAGAATAAGATTTCCACACTCAATAAGAATGTGCATAATAAATCACTGTGTAAATGACTCTCTTGCTTATAAGAAATCGCAAAGTAAAAAAAGTCTCCCTTCTCCGTTAAAGAAAAAGAAATTAAAAGTGTTAGCCAGAGAGAAAAGTGACTTTTCCTAATAGACAAAGTATATATAAAGTAGTTAAAATGTGAAAGAGACGAATATTGAATGTGGAGTTCATTATAATCAACGAAGGTCTCAGGACGACAGGATACAGTATAGGAATATTTATAGGGCACTTAATTCATTATTAATGATTACCTAGAAAATGCATTGATTCATTGAATTACTCGAGCCGATTAGTGGACACTCGAAGTGGCACCCGCGGTTGCTGTAATCACAACAAAATCAGTTGTGCCAACAACAACAACAATAGCATGATATATTATTTTCAAACCCTATAACTTGTGGTAAAAGATTTCTGGATATTAAGAAAAAATTTAAAAATGACAATCTGATATTTACATAGATATCAACTACCAGCTGTTTATATAAAATTGATATCCAGTAATCTTTCTTTAATATCTTGTTAAAAATAACTTCATTAAGAAAATGTGTTACACAGGCATCAGTGATAGAGTGGATCATGGAATGATTAAATTAAGCAAATGTTTACAAAATTCTTCTATTTAATAGGAAAGTGTTTTTCTGTCATTACAAAATCTCTTGGCATTGAAGCATTTTGAAATTAAGTATAACATCAACACAAACAATTTTCGCAATGTACACAGCAAAATAAAAAAAAAGTATATACTTGATTACACCTCATAAGCAAAGTATAAGTAAAGCATCATGTAAAATCAAATAAGTATATCTTTCGTATAAACGCGATTTTATAAAGTCACACGAGACGTCTCTTTCTTGCTTGCCAGGAAACTATTTCCAGACGTGATGCCGTCTAAATTTACACTGGACTATGCGCGCATACGTATTTCGAATATCACATATGCGGGGGGTAGATACAATATATAAACTCAAGTCGCAAAATATCAGAAAAGCAAATACTTACAAAGCTACTTTTTCGTATATACAAAAGTTTAATTAACTGTTCGTCTGTCTCTCCAATTGATCAATTCCTTACAATATGCTTATATAAAATTTCTTTACATCATTCGCTCGATATAAGAATCAGAAAGAGTTACGTGATAAATATAAGTTCTCGGGTCTAATCCCCGAAAAGACGTTTCCCAAGCTCCATCATGCGATGATTCCGGCAGACTACTAACGCGCCGCTCTTTTTCAGCACCGGCCCGACGCTATCGTCGGCCTTCTCCAAGTGGCACAGTAAATCCTCGAAGGCGGACTTGACGTTCGGCTCCAAACCGCCGATCTTCACTCGTTTCAGCGTTTCGATGATGTCCTCCGCCCAGCCGGACTCCACCGTGAACTGCGACAGCCAAGGTATCACTTGCAACACACCAGCCATCGTCTGCATACCCAGAAACCAGAGCTCCATCAACTCCATCCAGTGTTCCTTGTACGACATGGAGACCACTAGCTCGGTGGGATCGTTGCTCTCATCGATGATGTACGCGTCCCATAGGAATCTTATAGTGGCCTGAATGTAACGACATATCGAGAAGTCATTCTTTTTAATACGTTTCGCCTGCTGCTTCATCAGCAACAGACCTAGGACCGCCAGATGACCGTGCAGCACGAGATTCTCCGGGATCTGTTTCAACTCTGGCAGATTGTTGTAGATGAACTTTAACAGAGAGATGAACGTCGGCGACTCCTCCACCAACTTGGACTCTAGCACGGTGATGTTCATCAGGACGTTACAAATAGACACCATCGCGGTTCTCGAGTCCTTCATTTCCTCCAGAAGATGCAAATCCAGTTCCTCCGTGCGATTACCATCCTGCAGAAGCTTCAGACGCTCCGATCTCGGCACCGGGGGCCTCTTATAGTGCACGATGGTCCAGTGATAAGACAAGCACTCGAATAAGACCTCGTCCTGCTTGTGCTGAAGGAGAATTTTCCTGGCGCTTTCTTCCACAGCTAAATAACATAAAGCAGGTAACAACAATCTCAGGATGTCGACCTCGCTCATCGGATCGTGAACGATCGGTTCGCCGGTTGATGTCCCTTCGTCCGCTTTAGCTTTAGACTTGGCCTTCTCGGCCAACTTCCTGTTTCGATGCGCATAAAAGGTATCGTTGGCCACTGTCAATACGTATGGCAAGACGGCGTAAACCTGAGGACGCATCGCACTCGTCTCCTGCGCCAGCCAAGCTGTAAGCACTCGGACAAGAGCGCATACGAAGATCTTATCTTTCACATTCGTCAAAGGCTTCATCTTCGACACGGAGTTCAGCAGAGCGATGACGGCCGCGAAGGCGCCCTTCAGAGCTGTGTACAATGACTGTTTTTCCTTCTGCTCTAAATCCAGCTGATCCGTAACGATGTAACCGATTGAAACTTCGAGAATGATAAAACATGCCGTGATCAAATCGGCGTTGTCGACGACAGTCTTGAATTGTTTGTCCTCCAACTGCATCCTGACCTCGATCGATGCTAACTGAATGAGCAATAAAAAGTAAATCTTTGGTTTATCCTTATCCATCATGGCCCAATCTGCTCCCAGCAAATCCATCATCACAGACGTGAGTTTCAAGGCTGGATCACGCTGCTTCTTGCTTATTTTCGATCCTAGAATATCGCTCAGACCCTTATGAATACTCAGCGGCCAAGATTCCTCCTTCGCCGTTGCGAAAGAGATCACTTCCTTTCTGCAAGATTGTAACAGAGCCTGCAAAATGATACACAGTTCGAATTTCCTCTCCGTATGATCAGTTTCGAAGTCCAAAGCTATCTTATTCATAATCGTGTGGAAAGGTGCGGTGTCCGTCGAGTCCCAGGCTTCTGGTCCAAAAGTATTGACCAAAGTGACGAGGATGTTCAACGCCTCGTCTGTCTGGAAGCTCTTCTCCTCGTAAATCTCGCACATCTTCGGGATTGCTTTTTGTTCGAGCAACGCCTTCTGTCCGGGAGGCTGTTGGGCGATGCACTGCAAGCAGGTGTAGGCCTCGCTGACGATGATCAACATGTCGTCCGGCGCGTCCTCGTCAGCCTGCGACACTATCTCCAGGAGAGCCGGAATGTTTCCCACCATATCCGGATGAGAGGCCAGCTCGGGTTCCCGGCAGAACGCCGAGAGAACGGACAGCGCCACGGATTTGTACACCTGCGGCGGACAATCCACGGGCACGCTCTTCGTAGACAGCAACTTCCTGAGGAACTTGGCCCCGATGGCCTCGAAGAGCATCCTTTTGGCGGCCGGGGTGCAATCCTTGCCGTCCACCAGCTTGGTGACCATAAACAGCGCGGCGAACTTCTCCGAGTCCGTGTCCACCGCCTTCAGCACGGCCACGCATTTCGCAACGCCCTCGGGAATACTCATAGCGTAAGTTGGATTATATATTACAAGGTGCAGAGATAGAAAGAAGAAAGGAACAAGACGAAGACGTACGTCTGCGTTCCGCGTCCAAACCTGACGATTATTTCTATATCACTGTTCCAGGCTCATCGACGATGTCTCTCGACGTCTGTCGTTCTCTGGACGAGCGTCACCGGCTGTCATCCGGCGCGTAGCATAGTCGGGAGCCAACTGGCAGAGCTCCCGGACTCCCCTTCCTAGCCTTGCCCTTTGACACACTCACCGCAGGCCGAAAATAACCCGTCCGACCAATCGCGTGCACGTGGAGCGCGCAGTTGCTCCCATCTGTCAAAGTATTCCTTTGAAGTTTCCGCTGTCGGGAGGATATTCCGATCTCGACGAATAACCTCAAAATGAATATGACTGTTCTGGAGGACACCTCACGTGTCTTTCGAGAATCGATTACTCGCCCATAGAGGAACGATAGTTTCTGACGTCACGACAGACAATCGATCTCTTCGATCTTAAAATAGCTTGTTTTTTTTTTTTTTTTTTTTTCGCAAGCGGTGAACTTTGTCAGCGAACTTTGTACTTGGCAGATTTTAGCTGCACTTTTCTGCACCTTTTCTCGCGCCTACATCTACACTAAAAAAAAAAAAAGAAAAAATATATTTATCGCGTGAAAGATGCAAGTGCAGCTAAAAAAAAAAAAAAAAAAAAATTATCCTCAGGATATTTCGAGAATCCGAGGAGAGGGTACGATGCCGAAAATAGTCGCCCCGTAGAGAAAGCAAAAGCTATATCAGGGAGTCGGCTCGTATTACACGAGAAGGGAGGGGGAGAGGGAAAGGGATGCGAAAACGATTTCTATTCTTGCGACGCGGGTATACGCATCGGCAAGTAAATAAACGACGTGAAGTGCGGAGCGAGTCGACGCGCTCGCGCGATCAAAAGTTCATTTTTTTTTTTTTTTTTTTTTTCGCTTTTTATTCGGAGGAAAAAATGCCCGAGTTACGAATGACGGGAGGAGTGGGATGGGGACTCGGGGTCAAAGGTGTGGTGCCTCTCGTACCTTGCGGCAAGTCTGACTGTCCGCCTTCCTCGTCTCCATCAGGGTATTGTCCAGGTCGAAGAACACCGTGCTCAAGGACGAGAGGGGCCTCCGATTGTGTTGATTGCGGAACGCAGTTTCCATATCGCTGTCCCCTTCGATCTTCCGTAGCTTCCTGCTTCCTAGCGACTGCGCTCCCAAATGACGACACGTGTCGTGTCTTTCATAAATTTCAATACCATCGACTTAAGAATATATAGACTATTAGCCGTTCATATTGATATGAATGAAGGGGGGAGGGAGTTTAATTTGTTTGCGCGAGAAGGAAACGTCATCACGGATGATCTTGCATATATTTAGCGTTCTAGGTTGTATTTGATGAGAAATCAAAAATTGTGAGTCTTAATTGACCTATATTTAAATAAATGTAAATAAATGTTCTTATATTGCAGGCATTGATTATAATATATTAATAAAAGAAGACAATAGAGAGAGTCGAGTATTTTTAGTCTGATGCATTCTTGGTCAAATGTCAAACAGCTGTTTTGCTTTTGTCCTCTTTTAACAATGCGCTTTATACTGTCTGCAAGTGTATATTCAAGAATTTCTTTATATATATACTATACGTGTCCGAATTACGTCATAAATTCGAAATTACACTAAAATCGTTAAATTTGTATAAAAAATATCAAATATCCATTCTTTTCAGTTTATATGTCTATTTTGACATTTTGTTATGATTTGCTAAAAAATGACAAAAATAGTAACATGAATTGACAGTTGGCCGCCATTTTGGTCAAGCGTCCAAACTCTATTGGATTGGCTGAACTTCTTTTTCCTACAAAATGGCAGAACTAATCAAGAGCGTTGAGAATTTCAGCATCGTGATGACTTTCTTAAAATTCATAGTTCATGCTGCGCATGTCACACGAAGTTTCAAACATTTTGGCGGAAAAGTGTATTTGTGAAACGTTGACAGTGAGGGTGAGGTGTTTTTCGGCAACAGGTTGTCAGGACACATTAATTAAAATGGTATCGACAGCGTCAGCATTAACGGCGAATGTGCAAACGGAGGATGAGTTAGACGATTATACTCCGGCAAAGCTGATCAAGGCACTAGAGGTAAGTCTAATCTTGATCATATCATGCGAAATGACGAAATGCTTTCATGGCCGTGCATGTTTGAACACGTTTCTCGTATTTGTTTCGTTACTTGTTATCGCGTAGAAAAATGGCATCACAGCTGGGGACATCAAAAAGCTGCAGGAAGCCGGTTATTATACCGTTGAATCGGTGGCATATGCTCCAAAGAAGGATATCGTACTCATCAAGGGCATCAGCGAGGCTAAAGCGGATAAGTTGTTGGAGGAAGCCTCCAAGATTGTCATGATGGGCTTTAAAAGTGCTACAGAAATACATCAGACACGTGCAAATATTGTCTATGTTACCACTGGTTCTAAGGAATTGGATAAGCTGTTAGGTGGTGGAATAGAGACTGGGTCTATTACAGAGATCTTTGGAGAATTCAGATCAGGAAAGTCCCAGTTGTGTCATACTCTTGCTGTAAATTGTCAGCTACCAATTTGTATGGGTGGCGCAGAGGGAAGATGCCTCTACATAGACACAGAGAATACTTTCAGACCAGAAAGATTGGTGGCAGTTGCTGAGAGGTACAAGATTGATGGAAAAGCTGTTTTGGAGAATGTCGCTTATGCCAGAGCTTTCAACACCGATCATCAGACTAAGTTACTAGTTCAAGCCAGTGCTATGATGACAGAGGCTAGATACGCTTTGTTGATAGTCGACAGCGCGACTAGTCTCTACAGGACTGATTATACCGGCAGAGGCGAATTATCTGCCAGACAGACTCATCTAGCGCGATTCCTCAGAATGTTGCTACGACTGGCAGACGAACACGGGATTGCTGTTGTTATAACGAATCAGGTAGTTGCACAAGTTGACGGAGCTGCTAGTATGTTTGGTGGCGATCAGAAGAAACCTATCGGTGGTCATATCTTGGCACATTCAAGCACAACCAGATTGTATTTGCGTAAAGGCAGAGGTGAAAGTAGGATATGTAAAGTATACGATTCACCTTGTTTACCAGAAAGTGAAGCGACCTTTGCAATAAACCCAGATGGTATAGGTGATGTACAGGAATAAACTTGTCAACTGAATAGTATAAGAAATATATGCAAAAAAAATGGAATTTATTTTTTTATTTATTTATATAAATTGTTTTTCTCGCGTGTGGGCGCGTGTTAAATATCATTATATATCTGTTATAAAGAGATTTAAAAAATTGGAGGTCGAGACACACACAATAACAGTTCATTGAAGAATTAAAATTAGTTATTAAGTTAATTACAATTAAATAGAGTTAAAAGTAATTAATTATAACTAAAATTAAGTGTACGGTATGTTTCTTACTATTTCTATTAATATGTCTTTCTTAAAAGATTTTTAAAAGATATATGACAAGATTGTAATATCTATGGCTAAATATAAGATATAAATTATACAAAGCATTATTTTTCATTTCTTTTAAACAATTATTTAGGAACCGATATCTTATATCATTAAAGATAGATTAGAAATACTTTGCGCAAATTAGTTTTTAAGGAATAAGTAATTAATATTAGTTTATTGTGGATAATTTATGATATATTTTGATAATTAGAATTTCAAGAGCAACTCCAACTTCATTCTAACTTAGCATATACAAATGTTTATTAAAGTTCTATCAATTCCTATTACTTATTTACATGGTATAGGTTGCTTTTTGAATTACATATTGAGAAATGTTACTTTACATCTGTATTGTTTTTATAATGATTCTATTTAATGCAATTTTTATTTTACACGTATAATCAAAGGATTTTAGCCTGAACTCGCACTAGAGGCAAAGTTTTTTGGTAAAATTAAAGGATTTTATTAGCCTGGACTCGAACCAGGGGCAAAGTGTGTTGGTAAGGGGCAAAAATGATGGTCTCCTCTTTAGACAGGTCTTTGGCGACTATCTGCGTCTTCCTTGCTGAAAAGCATGAACGCCATCTCGCAGCGCACACAGAAAACAACTACTGAAATTACCGCTACTTCGCCCCATCCCAACACGCACCTAATCCAACCTTACACGTACTCATGTGTATTACTCGAAAAATACTTCTACGTGCGACTCATAATTAAGCAATTATAATCAAAATGGATATCCCAGAAACCGAAAGTGACACGCTTCCAGAAATACTAGAAAGTGCAAAAACCACAGTACAAAATGTATTGCCAGAAAAATCCAAGCACAAATATATGACAGCTTACAACAATTTTATACAATGGATATCTGAAAAAAAAACTGAATCTATGTCTCAACATACACTATTGACATATTTCAAAGAGCTGTCACAATTGCACAAGCCATCTACTCTGTGGGGAATCTATTCAATGCTCAGGGCCACCATCCAATTCAACAATAACCTTGACATCTATAAATATGATGAACTGAATACATTCCTCAAAATACAGTCTAGAGGATTTCAATCTAAAAAATCAAGCACTCTGACACCGCAGCAAATTAAAAAATTTATTGATGAAGCTCCCGATAACAAATACTTAGCTACAAAGGTAAATATCAAATATAAAAATAAATTATTGCATAACTCAAACATAAAACATAATTAAAAATATACAAATAAACAGGGTTGGGAAAGTTACTTTGTAAAAGTAATTAGTTACAGTTACACTTATTTCATTGAAAAAGTAACTACAGTTAACAATAGTAAGTAGTTACAGTTATAAGTTACTGATTTTAAAAATTAACTCGTTACAGTTACAGTTACTCAAAAAGTAACGAGTCCTTACTTTTCAGTTACTTTTTAAAAATAATTATACATTATTTTAAATATAAGGAGCTTACATTTTATGCACAATCACAGTCAAGTATTTAAAAAAATTCTTGAATGTAATATTGATCGATTTGCTCGCGACTTTGCGATTACCATCAATGTTTGAATGACCTTTATATACAACAGTAAAAATAGTTATAGTAAGTTACTAAATGGTAATCGCAAAGTCGCAAGCAAATCGATCAATTATTACAATTAAGAATTTTTTTAAATACTTGACTGTGATTGGTCGATCTTAATTATATGTTATATTATTTTATGTACACAAAATGAAAATTTTAGGTAAAAGATTAAATCATATGAAGATCTATATGCTATCGTTATCAAAATTTAATTTAACAGTATAACGGCTATCATACTTAAACGATACTTTTAGCGCATCCAAAAAAAGTAACTAATAAAGTAATTATTAAAATAGTTACTAGTTAATAAAAAATGTAACTAAGTTACAGTTACAATTACAGATGGAGAAAAGTAACAAAGTTAAGTTACAGTTACTGAAAAAAGTAACATCGTTACAAGTAACTCATTACTTCCCAACCCTGCAAATAAATTATAAAAACTCTACACATTACATATACGCATACTCAACTATTCACAACTTTATACATTACTTACACATATATTTCACTATTTACAGCTAGCTACCATCTTTGGAATATGTGGAGCATGCAGAAGAGAGGAACTCACTAAAATAGACATAGAAGACATTGAAGACAAAGGATCTCTATTGTTGATTAAAATTCCAACGACAAAAAACTACAAACCAAGAACCTTTGTAGTCACCGATGAATTCTACAGTACATATAAAAAATATGTGAAACTCAGACCAAAAGACATCCAAACTTCAAGATTCTTCTTGAATTATCAGAACGGAAAATGCACTCAACAACCGATTGGAATCAATAAATTTGGCAGAATGCCAAAGATCATTGCAAAATATCTCAAACTACCAGATCCTGATTCTTACACAAGCCACACCTTTCGTCGCACTTCTGCCACACTCCTAGCAGACTCTGGAGTAGACATCTTAACACTAAAAAGACACGGTGGCTGGAAGTCCAATACAGTAGCTGAAGGCTGTGTAGAAAACTCCATCAACAATAAAATGGTATATTCTTTAACACAATATGAATGTAATTTTAATTTTAGAAAAATGATTACACATTTATTACTAGTATATATAGTACAATGTAGAGAGCATGTAGTATACACTTTTATTGAATATATACTTCTTATTGTTATTATTTTTTATATTCAACAGATATTAGAAGAGAATAAGGAACGCGAACAATCGGATACAATAGAGGATGAGCAGGCGTTTGCAGAAAATCAGGAAGACGAGAAAGGGGAAAAAATGCTACCTACTAATTCATTAGATATCGTTAATGAAGAAGAATCGAGGCATTCACAAATTTCATCATCCAAAGTATCAAATGAAGATGATCGTTTCGGCGAGTGGGTAGCGTTAGAACTACGAAGTTTACGTTCCGAGGTGAACAAAAGAAAATTAAAAAGTGAAATTAGAAGAGCAGTATGCCGTATTGCTGATTTAGATGATGCTGATACTTTTCCTTCTAATTCATCAACCGATCCGCTTTATTTGTCTTCAATACCATCTCCAGCATACGTGTCAGTATGTGATTTAACTAATATAAAATCTGAATATAATGAATAAATAATATGCGCTAAATAAGAGCGCTGTTTAATGCAACATTTAATTTAAATTTTTATACATAATAGTATATTAGCTAACAAGTGCGGGGGATCGTAAATCGGCCGAGAGTGCGAAAGTTTGGCGCACGAGGGGAAGCCGAGTGTGACAATCCGCACGATCGGCCGATTTATGACTCGCACATGTTGGCTATGATATTTTGTGACCGGTGCGTGGAAAGGGAGCCCTTTCTAAAATCCCATCATGTGCGTACAGGGCGACTTTTCGCGCGCCGGTTGAACAAAAAATTTAAGATTTATTTTTTTGCTTTTAAAATTGTATTTAAATTTATAAATAGTAATGTTCTTTATTCTTAAATGTAATAAAATTTTTTGCAAGTATTGTTCACATAAAATGTAAAAAGATAAATATTGGATTACATTATTGGGTACACATGTATGTACATATATCGAAAACAAATTTATTATAAAACATTGTATTACTGATTTTTATATCGTTGATTTGATTTTTCTAAAAATATAATTTGTTATATATGACGCGATAATTAACATAATTTTTAGAGTTACAGTAATGATGGACTCACAGCATCCCAGATAACCAAGTATGCCTAAATAACGTATAAAAATAAGATGCCAGTAATCGATGCTGATTCTTTGCTAGGAATATGAATTAAGTATTTGAGTAGCTAGCATGACGTTAACATTTTGTCGTAATCAAATGCTCAGCTAAAGAAGAAACATATCAAATAAGCATACTGTTAACAAAAATCATATAATAGCATATAATGTTTTCTTTGCTAACAGATATATAAATACGTTGCTATAATTATGTCAGCATTGTCAACATCTATTTAATTCTAACACCAGCATAATGTTTAAAACGTGCAAATGTTTCATTTTCGGCATCAAATGTTAGCAAACAGCATAATAGACGACATAGATGTGTAGTAAAATACTAACATCTTTGTTAGCAACATGAAAACAACTTGTGTTCACACTGGCTATCTGAGATCATTAAAGATGACAAAGTTTCTCACACGCTAATCGATTTGTAAAAAAATAATTCAATTTATAATCGCTTTTTAGAGATCAAACTTTTAGGATACCGTATATTAAGCCAGTTCTTCTTACTGAAATATATATGTTACACTTTTTTTATATTCAAAGTCTGTACCACGATTTATTATTAGAAAGTATCACTTATCACACTTTGGAGGTCACCTAAGTGACTTATAGGTTCAATCAATTATGGATCCATGAGGTTCACCGCGGAAGGTCGGAGATTCAATTGATACTCCCCGAAGAGCATGGCCGCCAACCATCTGTACTGTTCGTCCTTGGATGTTCCTGCTAAGGTATTCCCAAAATACGGGCTATCCTTACATCTGAAAGATAATTGAATGTCTTATGTTCTATCGAGAATACTGTATGTTGGGATAGTAAAGATTTTAAAATGTATAATATATCTTCCATCAAGTTATAATGAATAATTAATTGTTATTTATATTAAATTCTTACCTCGTAGGTTTCTTGTTTTTCGAGATGAACGTGACAGACCAGCTGTGACAAAAAAATATCCTGATAGATATTTTTCAAGAAACGTCACAAAATTATTATGTAATTACGTGTTAAAAGGTTTTACCCCATCTGTGGATTGCGTTTAGGTTCGTGTCCCAAGTACCAAACGATATCCTCTATCTTCCACTCATGAAGCTTCACGGAGCACACCTTGTCTTTGTAACAGCAGAGCTTCGCCTGGCTGAATTCGAAAAGATAATTCTTCAGGTTCTTCGTCTTGGTGTCCGCGAATTTGAGTTCTCCGGAGATTGTCATAGGCGGTTTCACCTATATATACACACATACAGAGAAAAGATCAAGAAGCATTATTAATGTCAATTAAACCGTATCCTGTTTTCGCACGCATCTTTCTTTCCGCTTTTGAAATCACGCAATTTGATCCGTATAAAATAGCTTGTTTTGTACCTTGAACTCACGCAAAGCTATTATGTTATTTAGGTCATGTGAATCACTGGACAATGTTTACGTACGTATCATGTTTGCGAATGTTACATTTTATTCTGAGCTTTATGAGAATTTTTTATCCGTCTGTTCTTCTGTTATCATAGCACACGCACCAGAGGCACGATGTCCTTGTACAATCGGTCCTTCTTGAGGATGAGGATATTATCTTTTCTATCATCCGGATCCCAGTATCCCCATCTCGCCACCGCCTCCAGAACACGTTCGTTGTGATGCAACGGCCGTTCCAGCGCACCTGACAGAGTGTATTCTTCTAGACACAATTCATGAGCTGATGAATTGGTTTTCTCAGCGAGTTCCCGGCATACGTCAAACGCAGTCTTTTGAGGTCCGATCTAATTAAATCGATTAATTAATTAAAAACACATAAAAGTATTAAAAACACAAAACTATATCATATATGGTTGAATTTTAATCATCAGTATGAATATAATTTTCAGATTGCCGATAAACACATTCTCTCCTTAACAAATACTACAAGAAACTAGAAATTGAGAAACTATCGATTTATCGGGGAAGTTAAGAGACAGATGAAGAATATCGATTACATCGAGAAGAAATCCTTACAGTGACATTCATGCACTGTCCGTCTGGCGATAAGATGTATATCCAGATCTTGAGATCTCCCGAAGGCGCGCCTCGCGGTCCATTATTGGATACGTGATGTTTTTCCAAGACCTCCAGCATTTTTGCCTCCTTGGCCAAATCAGCCGACGACAGTTGATAGAGCTTCGGGTACAACTTGATGAGATCACCGACGACCTTGGTCTCCGCGCGGTTCCACTCTTCGGCGCTGTTCCCGCCAGCGTGCATCAATGTTGGGCCCCAAACAGCTGACAAATTTTCGGCGGTCATCAGGTTCCTAGCGCTCTGCTGACTGAGACCATGAAGATGCGCCAGGATCCGACGAAGCGTCGCCGACGTCACGGGATTAGCGTAGACAGTAACTTCTGGTAAGTTGCCACCCTATTTTCTTCGCTGGTCGAGTCTGAAATAAATGCGTTAACTTTATCTTTGCGGTGATCAATGAATCAAATGCGTAATTATTTCAAATAGAGAGAAACATTAATAGTAATTTTTTGAAAATGAAAACATTCTGTTAATTGGTATGTCGGATATTTTTATAGCAAAAATATCTGTATTGAATAAATCTCTTATGTTACCGGCGGTGAGGCAGAGTCGATCATGTATTTTGGCAGGGAATAATGGGTCCGGTAAGTCCCGCAAAAATCTTCTAAGAACTGTAGCTACGTCATGTTCCGTATACGAATTCCGAGTGATTTGGGTGGCCCATGCATCTCTTCTGAAAGCTTCCAATAATTTCACTACGGCACTACTCGATCCACTGCGACGATAAATGCCTTCCGACATCATGCCTGGAGGAATAAAGAGGTGTCTTGTTTAGACATATTCGAGTAAATTACAATAATATAATATTATTCAGTAATACAATCAGAAATTCTTTGAAGGAACTTAATTATCATGCAGGATATTTCCCAATTTCTCATTAATCTTAATGATACAGCGAGATGACGCGAATTTCATTGTAATATATTATACAGGATGTCTTGCAATCTCGTAATCGAGAAAATAATTATATACATATATACATAAAAAAAAAATTAAAAATGTTTGCCCATGAGATGGGACGCATCTTCAAATGCATTCGCAATTCCGCCAAGTTATTATTCTATCATTCGAAATAATTATAAATGATTCATTAATCACCATGCGCGTAGATAAAGTTGACGCATTTGTCCAAGATGACGGGCACATTGTCTTGCGTGATCTGCTGCTGATCTAAGGCAGGGCCGCAGTTGGTGGCTGCCTGATAGAGCGCGTGTCGCCAAGCGGTTGCCTCGTGGGGTCCCGGGGTGGCGATGTGCAGGGCACCGCTACCCCTGGCATCCGCAACTACGACCGGAACCACCCCGCTTCCGGCGATCGGGCCTTCCTGTTCCCGCAGCACTGCAACGTCAAGAATCGATTAATTAATTTTTATGCGATTCGTAAACGTAGTTATTATATAAATAATCATCTCTTCTCTAATTAATTATTATATTCTCTGTTCATTTTCTCTTTTTATTTTTGAAAATACCAACACAAAAGGCACTCGAATTATACAACTTTATTTCGGAATTTATTTCAAATCATATATACTTTATAATTCTATATTTTCTATCATACACATATATTTTTGTATTTTTTTTTATATTCTATAATTATGTCTTAAAATGCTTTTTCTATATAAAGGATAAAAGAATTAATGAAATTATAATTTTAATGATTTAAGCTACTTCGATTATTGAGATTAATGATCCTTGAACGCAGCATGATATTAATAACATTTGTCCAAATTAGGTCATACAGTATGAAAGATGATTCTGTATTTTTTTTTAATCGAGCAATTTTTATTATGTTGAATCACTGATAAAGCGACAGTCGAACTCGTTTATCATCGCAATTAGGGCGTCTCAATCGCGGGATTAATTGGGTCGCAATAATTTTCAATGACTGAGATTGATTTCAAGGCAAATCTCTGATATTAATTATAGACTGAATAAATGCCGATAAGTATAAATGCAATAAAAATACTCTAAGATTTAACGACGTGACAATGTAAATTTATTAAAGTAAAATTAATTTTTATCTTTGACATCAAGATTATCCGTCTTTGTTACGTCAATATTTACGTTGACAGTTTAATTTAATTTTTTTTCCTTAATTTTTTAACTGCATCTTACCGATACAACGCGCTTTCCGCAAATCCACCTGTTCAAAATTCACAGCAAAAGCAGGCTCTAAAGATTTTGTGTAAATCAAAGTCCTTTGGTGTAGAAGAACCCAAGCTGGGAACCATGTCCCTGTTACGCCTTCCTGAAAAATATGAAAAGAAATTAGGTATTGTAATCGTCGCGAAGGAGAGAGAAAGAGGGGAAGAAAAAGACAATATTCGACAATTTTTATTTTTATCTATGACGAAAAGAATTTGAAAGCGATTACCAATATACGAAATATTCACAACGTTCGCGAAATTTTAGAAGAGGAATTTGCATGTCAGCATATGAGGTTTCACTGTTTTCGCAAACACGAACAGTTAGGAACAGATATTTAGAATCTGTGAGAAATCAAGCATAAGTGTAATGGAACTTTCTTTATTACAAACTCTTCTGCACGAAAATGACTCGTATCTTTAATTATTCTTTAATTACTACTTATAATTATCATAAAAAGAAGGTTGATATTGGCAAAGTTACATTATATATGAATGAAATAAGATTTTTAACGTACCTTAAGAGACAATTAAGGTAGGCTTGCAAAGTTATTATAATTGATTAATATAAAATGTAAATGTAATATAAATTAGCTACAGTATATAATACATATATCACATACACACACAGACACACATAATTATGGTCACGATCAATTATAATATAAAATTTTTTATATATGCTTTTTTATTTTCTACCTAATTTTTGTTCTTTTTTTATATTAGCGTCTCTCGAATTAATTACAATTTGAATTACATTAAATGTTAAACAAAAGGAACAGATCTTTTATAATAACACTTTTTGGTCTTTTATCATTTATTACTTTGATCAATGATTAATATAAATCTTTATATTTTACAATTGTTTCTCATCTCATCATTCACTGTTATCGATCATCAAAATGCAAGATATATATTATAATTTATTCTATTTTATTCTGCGACTTTTATTTAAATAATATTTAGCCGAAAGGTTCAATCACGTTAACAAATTTTTTGGTTTTCTTACCTTTAAGTAAGCCCAGCCCGCTCTGGTGAGTTCGGCAGTGTACCTCGTGGGGAAGACCGGCGTGGTGGCCTCGAGGATCCTCTGCGCCCAGATCCGTCTCTCGGCGATACCCTTCGCGTAGAAAACGTGCACGCTCGGTCTGCCCGCGCCGCTAATCGCCACGCAATGCACCGTCTCGCCGTCCACGGTTCTGCGCACATTTCGCAATTATCTTCACTCGCGAGGCGAAATAATGACGCGCGTACGACGGGAGTTGAAGGGAACGACATAATAAAGATATATGCGCAGAATAGAATCGAGAGACACGATCTTGTCTGGCGCCAAGACACCCTCAGAGGGAGGATTTAGCTGCTAAAAACCCGACATATTCTCCGATCCTTCCTCGAGGACCAGGAAGATTTACGCGAGATTTTTAAAAAAAAGCTATAGCATAACAAGACGTGTTTATATACCTTAGATGTGGACTTAGAATGGGGCCCCTAATAGGCTTAATCGATAGACACAAAAGATAGACGCGTCGATATATAGCGAAGACTGCGCATTTATGAAGATCGGGGTTACGGATTTATGTCGCAAATATTTTTTATACGTGACTTGGTTTCTCGGAAAAAGCTCGAAAGGAAAGGAGCTGTGATAATACTGCGTTTCAAGGGAATCGCAATAATTTATCGCTCGATAGCGCGAGAGCTACGCAAGGTCGGATCGTTACGCTCGAAAAAAACTTCTCTCTCGTGAGATCCTTTTCTTCCCGTTTAACAAAGAGGACCTTGAGACCTCTCTCGTAGAGAGTGACGCCTCTGCGAGGGGAACGTGTGTACGTCTGGCCAGCTAGTCTTAACACTTGGACTCGCGGCCCGATGCAAATGTATATACCGAGCGCGAGAATGAGTCATACATTATATATTATTTGAACATAATGAACTGTCTGAATCTCCGAATCGAGATTGGTATCTAGACCTATAACATTCGTAATCGGGAGAAAGCGTGGAATATATATCTCCAGGTTATTCCCGCAGAATAAACATCAGATACACTTTCGACGGAATACAGAATAACATAATTTCTGGGGGATGTGATAAATCGCGGAAGTTGGATGTATATAACTTTTTCTCTCTTCAAAGAAGCGTGGAAAAATATTCATCATCACGTATCGCACACGCTATTGTGCATATCGCGTGTGTTTATAAAATAAAATAACTCACTTGACATCCTGAAGCAGATGAATACTGTGCACTGTCTCCAGTTCCACGACCTCTTTCACCGTAGACATGCTCTTGTCAGTGTAGAACGATAATTTCCGATCGAGCAACACTGCAGCTCTCGGCACGAGGTCCTTGGCCCTTTCGATGCCCATTCCCGGCCTCCGCAGGAAATGATGATATTTTTAATTAATACCGATTATAACGCAACCGCTCGGTTTAAACTGACTAGTGTTACTCGATTATTCAGAGATTAAAACTGGAAATATTACTCAATTGATTATTAAAGTTATATTATCAAAATCGCGTCTTCCTCTTCTTCTAAATATTTATCCAATATATCTTTTTCGATCACTTATAGAACGTTTTTCTCAATTTTTCTAAATTGGTTCCAGTTTTGTTTGAAAAAAAATGTGGGACCGGAAAAAGAGCACGATCTCTCGCAAAAGTTTACGTTTCTTCTCACCTGTACACCATTCCTCTGTGTGTGACCGGATTGTGCGGAACATTGACCTTTGGCCTCTCCATTCGCAACGACCTCGAGCCGGACTCGCCGATGTGCTCGCGAGTTCTGGACAACAATTTACTGCCGCTCTTCACAAAACTAATCACGTTTGGCCTGATGCCATGTACGGTGGACTCCTGTCGCAGTTTTTTCAGCTTTTGTATCACACTCACTTTACGATTCTCCTCGCCAATCTTCGGTGTGCCCGACAAAGGACTAGTGATACTCTCCTCGACGTTATTATTGGCGGGTGACGTCATCGTCGTCGCAGCCGATTGAGGAATCGAAGGAGTGTCCGTAGAAGGGATCCTCGCGGAAGGTTTCCTGGGAGGAACTGCAGGCTGCTTTTTGGTCACCAAATGTGCCAATTTTGGCAAGAGAGGAGGATTCTTACTCGACGCTTGGATCCTGTCGGGCTGTTCCGTGCCTTCCGGTACGTCGTACTCGTTCTTCGGAAGAGAATCGAATCTCTTGGGTGGCTCCGGAGGTGTCGAACTGATGCCAGGATGCGTCAAGTCCTCGTCCTCCTGCTCTTCTTCAGCGCTTTCGCGAAATTCGAGGGTGCTGTCAGCACTGCCGGATGAATCGTTGGTTGCCAACAAAGTCTCCAGTAACATCAGATCATTGTTTTCGTAGTTACTGTAGACGTTCTCATCCTCGGACGTCCTCGCGAATGGATCGAACTCGAAGAGTAGGGACTTGCTGCTCTGCTGCCTCGTATCCGGGAAATCCGGGGAATGATTGCCGGTTGTTGCTGGTAATCGACCCTGGGCGGTGACAGATTCTCGTAGAGAGAGTTTTGAATGGAAGCCTGACTCTCGTTGGACGCGCAAGAGGTTCGGTCCAACGTTGTTGTGTCCCTCTCGATGGACTTTTCCGAGCTTTCTTCTTCTACGCTAGATACTCTGTCTACCTCGTCGGTATTAATGCTGGATGTGGCATCGTAGAAGGTCCAAGAGTCTGATCTCGACAGTTTCTTGGCAGAGCTTTCAGATCGATCAAGTGACAGATTTATATTGACGTCGGACAAGTTTAGGCTTTGGTCGGAATCGCTGCCCTAAAGTGGAAAGATGTAAGTAGAAAATATCTTTTTAATTTGATTAAATGCAATGAACGAATTTTTATAAACGTTTCAAGCTTGATAATTGAATGTTTCAGCAATAATGGAATGAGACAAGAAATCACAAGAAGAAAGTAAGATGAGACTTAAGGATGATTTTACCTGATTTCGCGCGAAGCTGAGAAGATTGAACGACTCGGGAAAGTCCCGCTCGACTTTGTCGGACACCGTGGAACTGAGAGTGTCGTATCGGCCACTACTTCCCGACGTGACGGATTGCAGCTCGTCGTAGATAGACTCGTCCGGAAGTGGAGGCGGCGGATAAACCGGAGGCGGCGGGCTGTGCCTGGCGGATAAATCCTCCTCGTTCTTCACACTCCTGAGATTGCCACTTAACGGACTGTAAAACGAGATACTGCTGAAAATGTCGTCTGCCGGCATTGACACGCATCTGTCCTCCTCGGCCGGATCGTTGAGCTTCTTCTGGACGACGTTGCCCTGGCCGACCACGTCGTCTTGATTCAGAGAAGACAATCGTCGCGTTAACAGGTTCTTCACCGACCTCTCCAACCGAATGCTGGCGTTTCGCGTGCTGGAGATGACGGCGCGCCCCTTCACCGTTACTTTCTCCGAAATCTCGTCCTTCAACTGGCGCGAGCTCGTGCTGAGATTGCGGAAGAACTCGTGATTGCCGCGAGTGCTCTCCCCGGTCGACCTCTGGTCGTCGCTCTTCTCGGATTGACCGGACTCGCTGGTTGGACTGCTGGAACGCGCCATCGGCGAGGTGGTGGTCGACGTCAGGATTCTCCGGGGCGCCGGTACCGGCCTGCTCTCGGGCAGAATCGATCGCGGTTTCGGTATTGGTTTCACCTCCATCGCGACTTCCTCCAATTAGGCCGGCAGTAATGTCGCTCCAGAAATGAGTGTTCTCGGTATTCTTCGACGCTAACCCATTGAGATCCTGAGACATATGAGAGTTCCTCTCATTTTTTTAGGCGGTTCGAATTTATATCAATTTTAAACCAATACGAGCTTTAAGCTGCGTCCTCACTAGAGCAACAACGAGCAATTTTATGTTGATATTCTGTTGCCAGCAACAACAGTTGTCGAACGAGCAACTTTTTGTCGCTTATTATTGTTGCTAAATGTTTCAAAATAATTTGATACATGTCAATGTTGCGGCAACATTTTGTTGCCATATTAAAGAAACATAATTACAGGAACATTTGGGTTTTGTTCCTATTCCAGTTTTAACCGCGACTGTGTCACTGAAAATTGAAGGTCCACATTGAAGGACTTATTCTTTTGCATTTTCTTTTATTTTTATCGTTTCAAATGGAAACACACAACAAAAACAGTAAGAAACTTTAAAAAACTTTCGGCAACAACTAGCAACTTTTTTAAGAAACCTGGAACATGAACAAAAAGTTGCTCCAATGAGGACACAGCTTTAGATTTAAAGGGATGATATACAAACAATCACCAGAAGATAAAGCAAGTTTTCTCTTGTCATCTAACATATTTTATTATCGAAAATTATAGTCCTCGTAAAAAAAGAGAAACGTTCAGATGAGAAAACTGGGTCTCCCGAGTACCGTTATTAACCGGATCTCCCATCTATTGTCCGCTTCCAGGATTAATCAAATTGTTTCTCCGCGCTGGAGACGCATGACAGAGCATATGAGCGACGCAAACAGAAAGGAAATTATGAATTGTCCCAGTATGAGTCATCGTTCCGAAAGCCGATACCGACGCCTGTAGTTTCCGGCTTTTATTTCAGCTGACTGATGAGATAGTGTCGCGCATCCATCTGTTTTAATATCTGCACTTTAATTTCACATATATTGTCGCGCCTACTCGGTCTGTCACCTGCATTTTCCACGTTTCAAATGAAATCGGCCCGTACTGAGTGTAGAGTGTTATGTAAAAATAAATTATGGATGCACATCGCAGTTTCGAATAAATTATGTCTAAAATACAGTGTTCCGCATGTGATCTCGTTGTACGTATATTATATTAATTCGCATATCCTGATTTTCTCTTCTAATATTATGAATTAATTTTTTAGGAAAAAGAAGAAAGAAACGGAGAATCTTTGTGACATCTTTGTTTCAATGAAAAGTATGAATCATATTCGACGCATCATCGTTAGTTTCTTTGAATTACTAAACTGCAATATATATACGATAAGAATGATATGGATACGTTATCATCTAATAATTTCCGTGAGATAAGAAGACACATTTCGAGCTGGGAGAGATACTGAAGAGACGAGCTATTGATTAAGGTAAAATGAATAGATTTAGTAATAACGATTTAATGAGCTTCGAAATGTCGAAATAAAATATCGAATGTGAATCAATTCCCTCAGAGAGAGAATGTAGAATAAAGGTCATTTTAATTTAAATGACCGATAATGCGCTGCGTTAGATATTATAATCATCTTAATACGATTTTAGGTATTATAGATAACGCGTTACATAATTAAACATTTTTGTCATTTGAGTCATAGACACTGTTTGAGATACATATAGCTCGTTACGAAACACCTAGAAAGTATTGCAACCGATGTAATTAACGACAACATCGTGCGGGCTTTACAATGGAGCTCGATAAACGAGTCGCAGACAATTACAGCACTAATATTATTATATGAGAAACACTTAAGTATGATTATGTCTATTTTTCCATATCTCGCGGACGAGGAAACGTTTTTCTATTTTGGACAATTTAGATTAGAATTAAATTTGCTTAAGAAAATTTAGTGAGCAATTTTAATATCGACTTCAAATCGAAGCAAGAATCGCGAATAATTTTTCTCGAGAAGAATTTAAATTTAATCAAATGCTAATTATGTATTAATTGAATTCCTGATGAAAAAAACACTGTGATCTCATGAAAAAAAAATTGAGAAAGATTTATTCAGTGCAGGAACTTTCGAAAATTAAAATATGCCAACTTATAATGTGTCGTTTTAATTATATATTAATATAAATAAAATAAGAATGACAAATTTTCGGAGTAACGTAATTTTAACTCTTCCGTCGATGCATAATTTTTCACCAATGAATATCCAGGCACCAACTCGTTTTCGATACATTGCACAGTTGGACATCGAACATTCTTTTTCATTCTATTTTAGAAGGTTTCGAAACATAATAATGGCCCTCTGTATTTTATTTTGAGCGGAGAGACGATTCCTACATATTTCTGACAACTAAAATTGCTTTGTGTAATATTTGTTCATTAACAGAAGAATTAAAATTTCGAACGAGGGAGACCGAATTGATTTGTATAAATATTTTTTCGAAAGAATTCGCATAAATTCGATCTCGAGAGGGTGACATTTGTATAGCCTCCGGCTAGAAATTCCGCTGTTCTTGTCCGTTAGTAACGCAGGTCAGAAACCTACCTGATGATTGTCGTCACGGTACGTCTGTCCCTTCCTGTGACCAGTCTTCCTTTCTGAACAACCGCTCCCGTTCCTCGTGGGTAACCACCGCGTTAAATCGAGATTACAACATTTTATTTCCTTCTTTTTTTCGAATAATAATCGCGAAGCTATGCGGGTCAACGTTTGTCCCTCAATCATTCATTCACGTTTCGTCCGCGATGTGGATTCATCACGTCTATCCTTTTCACCAGCACGTGACTCATTATATTCGCGCGCATCACATATACACTATCACACGTGTGCATGTGTGTGTGTGTATCATCCGCAACTTCTTAAATTCTGCGTTTATGCAAAATTCACGTGTGTTTGCACGAAGAAAAATTAGTGGCCCTGTTATGCGTTTCTATATATAAAAACAAGAGAAGAACCAAATATCGAGAAACATCTGTCAAAGATGACAGGTCAACGTACGCTATATATTTTTACTTTTATTTATTTTTTTAAATTAAAATCAGAATTTAAACACATCGAATTCCCACGTTAGAAGGAACAAAGCGAGAGCCTAGTACGAGCTGGCCGAGAGCGATAATAAATTAAAGAGACACTCGGCGCGATCGGAGAAAGACGCACAATAACACACGCATTCACACACTCACTCACACACATATACCTACACGCACAATTGTAGCCGCGTCAACAGGCGACCCTAGATTTTTATGGCTTGCGCGAGCGCAGTTCTCTCCTCCTTTCTCTTCTCGGAGCTTGTTTTCGTATTTTTTCGGGGATCCTTCGAAATGTAAGAACCCACACGTTGACGACGTGTCGCCGATAATAATGATAACGATGATGATTTCCGTTTTCTTTTCTCACGCGCACCAAACATCGCGTTGACGTCGCGGTTACATTTGCGGGGATAAAGACGACGTGTTGCCGAGATAAGATAAAAAATGCGGCCGAGAGAGCGAGCGGCGCGTCATCGTTCGACTTGACAGCGCGAGTCGTGTCTCTCCACTGACGCGGCTCCGCTCGGCGGAGAGTCCGCCAGTCCGCTCTCGTCGCCCACACATATCTATTCGGCTCCCGCAGTGGAGGATGGAGGGGAGAGATGACATGGAGGCCAACGCCACCGCCGGCATCAATTGCGGCCGCCACTGCAACTGCACGTGGAATGTGAGTTTGGGAAAACTAATTGGAAACTCGGTGCAACGTGTAAAGAAAATTTGTGTGAAAGTTCATTAATTAGAAAGTGCAATTAACTTATAGATTGAATTGATTTAATAGCGTTCCTTTTTATTCGAATTAATAAGACGTAGAATCACGTAAATCGCAAGTAAGTAACCTAATTTCTTTCTCGGATTTTAGAGGTTTCTTCTTTAATTTTTTTCTCAGAATTTGTGCAATTGCGATTCAACTATTTATAACCTTAATTACTATATAACCTTAATAACTATATTTATAATCTTAATTCATATTTTGTAATTAATTGTCTTATCAAAATAAATGCAGTTTACGAAGATCATTATATAAAATATTGTAAATAACAGAAATAATATATAGAATAAAAAATAGCTTATAAATACATTCTTTAATTGCAATTATTTTTAGTATATATATATATATATAATAAAGAATTATTTTTAGTATATATATATATAATAAAGAAATGATTTTAAAAAATAGACATTGCAAATGGAAATTAAAGAATGTACTTCTGAAATGAAAAGAAATTGTTTGGATAATTTATATATTTGAATGAAAACTTTAAAATTGAAATAATTTAATAGAATAGTGGAGAATATATGTGTGACGAGAAATGTCACTCTACAAAAGATATTTTAATGAAACCTTTATTAAGATTTTTATCGTGCCAAAGACAAATAACGACTTTGGCTATACAAACAGGTAAACGTTTTCCCGCCGAGAGTCTTTTATGCAGGTGCAAGCTATACAATATATCACTATTTAGAGTCTTAAATATTAATATATTAAAATAATAAAATATAGAAATCGCGCGCAAACAAATCTTTCGCGTTACAAATACAAGAGAATATAAAGAGGAAATGCTAATTAGATGTGTCAAAATTAAAATAATACATTTCTTCTCTCATAACAAAAAATACGAGATGTCTATATTTTTTTTCTAAATGGCAGCTCTTCCGCGCCGCGATTGTATAGATATCACTGGACATTTCTTTATTACAATGTCTCATTTTTTGTTGTCGATTTTGTTAAAGTCGATTAAAAAATTTTGGCGTTCAATAACTATTTTTTGGAATTTTCCTCTCTCGACAAATAATTTTTTTCCTTTTTTTTGGACGAAACACCATCAGTTGCACCTGCACTGTCAAGCGACTTGCGCGGGTATTTCTACTATCTTAAATCACAATGGTGACGACAAGTTTAACTATTTATTCGTTAATTAGTTCCTTAAGATTGATCGTTTATATAGAAGCAGGTACGCACGCACGCATGCACGCATTTATGTTAGCGGCCGTATACGTAAGAACGCGTGACGAAATGCATCCAATGATCGTTGATGATCTCTTGGCAAAGATTCAATAACACAGGATGTTTTTGCATCGCAGATGTAAATATAAGATAGATAGTAATACTGTATAATCAATTTTTGGGAGGGTAATAAACGACGTTTCTAAGAGGCATTTTTTTTCTTATTTTTCGCTCATCCAAATTTTAAACTCTGTTTGCATTAAAATTAAAATATTATTAAATTAATATAATAATTAAAGTTAAATAATAATTATTGAAGAGAATAATTACAATAGGTGATGAGAAATAAATTAAGAACACGAAGGAAAAAATATAAGAAATTGAAAAGAAAATAATAAAAAGGAAAGAATTGTTTTTTTTTTTTTTACAAAAATTCTATAAATATAAATGACTTATTATCTCTCCAAGGAGATTAGAGGAGTATTTATTGCAAGATTCTAAATTTTTTATGCAAAGGTCATACGAGATCACCGACGTTCATCGGTCGAGAGTCACGCGAGAAAATTATATATTCCCGCGAGCGACTCGCTTTTTCTTACAATTCTCCCTATAAGATTAATTTATCGCGATCGATTTGAGAATCGAAACGCGGCAGACCCGTAAAGAGTTACCTACTTTTTCGGCGCGTCGCCGAACGCTTAGGCCATAAAATCGTAAAAAAATATTCAAGCGCGCGAGTTCGAGGCGCGAGTGCACCTCCTGGTGTGCCGATTTTTTTCTTGCCTTTCTCTCTTTTCTTTATTTTTTTCTCTTTTTTGTATGGGTTGTGCGAAGGCAAAGATCGTGGAACGCGCGTTTACTTTCGTCGTATACTTTGCGGAAAGGAGTGAGATCGCTCGCGGTCATTATCTCGAGTCATCAGGAGTCATCGTGAATGCGTGCGCTGCGTACACTGGCCGCGTGTTTTTTATTTTTCGCGTTTTTTTCTTTTTTTTCATAAAGAGGAACGATCGACGGAATATCTACTATTATGTATCGGAACACAGAGAGACAATCTTTAAACAATGGCGGCCAGCCTTCGACCGATAACGCAGCTTCGCTTAAAGTTTTTTCGATGAAGAAAATCGAGTTTTATATATCTATTATACATACGTACATATGTTTTTTTTTTTTTTTTTTTTTTACAATATCGCCGCGGTGGGAAAAACAAATATTACTCCGTTAATGTAACATAATTAACTTATTTTCAATGATTTCTCGCTTATTTTTGTAATAAATATGTAACAATTACATATACAACAAAAGTATATATTTTTTAATTCGACATATTTCTGTGTCAATTAATTGACGATTAATAGAATATTATTTAAAGGTTTGGCGAAGCTTATCGGGTAAAGGCTGATAAACGGTCCAACCTCTTCTCCTCGCTTCTATCCAAATTAATATTAAGTTTCTGACGCCTCGTATCAATGCATTTTGCGAAAAAATGTAACTAAAATAATATTTTGTTTCTATAATAAAAATCTTTAATATACATCAGCGGATATATTTATGAAAAAAGTATACATATGTATATATATATAATAGCATATATTATTAAATTATTTAATTTATATAATCTAAATAGCTTTCAATTTCATATTTTTATTTTTCTAGATTATTGCAGTCTTAGCAATAAAATATGTTAAAAATCAAGTAAAAAATTAGTATTATGATTGTAATAATATGATTTGAATTGATCGCATATATGGCGATAGGTACGAGGCGTCTTGGATCTGTATAATTCGAAATCGTCAAACTACAATAATAGTCCTTCGAAATCGCTTATGACTGGAACATGTGATTTAAGGGCGCAAGATAAAGAGAGAGAGAAAGAGAGAGAGAGATAGAGACAGTGACATAGAAAGTGTAAGAGATTAGTCCAAGGAAAAAATTTTTAGGCACACTCACACACATACACGTACATTTATATAATTATATATTTGTGTGTATATATTATGCGTAGAGCGCAAGAGTCTTTTTATTCTTTGGCAAGCAAAATGCGGCTCCGCATCTTTCTTTTTATACGAATTTCTGCCAGAGTCAGCAAGGGTGATGTGATTTGTTCAGATTTGATCCTCTTGAGTATCACTTGCGAAGAGAAACCAAATTAGAAATATTAACTAATCGATATAAATAATTTATGCAAAATGAAGAATATAAAAATATAAAAATATTTTCGAAATATTTTTCCGATGACTCTTATAATAATTATTAACATTATTCTAATTTGTATATAATTACATATTAGTGGTCACACTTTTAATTTTTGAGATTTGAAAATAAAATTTGACACTTGAGAAATAATACCATCATTGAAGAAGCGCAAGTAATTAATTCAAGACAATTACACTTCTTTTCGTATCGATTTCAATCGGATTTCGACAATGTCGATTTTCTAATCGCTTTGTACTCGTTCAACTGATCAGTATTCCGAGCAGAAAAAGACCTCGGACGGTGAATATTCAGATCACCCGTACTCGTGGTAAGTAACATCCAGCTTCGTTCGTGTAGACGGACTCTTAAAATTGCTCATTTCTCTTTGTTCTTCGTACATTTTTCGCGCGGTGTCAGTTAATTATACTGTAATCGTTACGTCATAATTCAATAGCAAATATATTATCACATTTAGATTGTATTAATTTTTAAGACGACCGGCCGGACGTTTCACGACGAATTTTTCGTCGCCTCGCAACTTTCGCGCCGAATGAGAAAGCCTATTAATGCCCAATCATTTTTCGCGACGTCTTTAGTACCTATCTAATCTTTCCTATAATAGGAGATAGAGAAAAGAATAGTCGTTTGCGAATAAAAATAAAGAATCGATTAAAAAGATGCAAATAATCTAGATAAGAAATTTTTTTCTAGTTTAAAAAAAATATTATATACATCTGAGGATCTTTAGAAATAGAATGGAGAACACTTAAGTGTATTTCAACTCTATGAATATCTTCTGTTAAATATTAGGCGCCTCTTTGCCATGAGGATATAATCTTGAAATTTCCTGCTCGCAATATTTTACTTTCAATAAATGCCAATTCCGAGTATCCGCCTCACTCGTCTAAAGGTTAATATCTCTGTATTGAAACATTTAACCCTCTTCATTCTTTATCCCCTGACGTAATGGCCGAGCTAGTTTCCGAGCAGATCCCAACTTATTGAACGTCTTACGATTCGCATTTACGAGAGAAAATTATACGCGACAAAACGACGACGACGTTCGTCGTACAGACACGTCCGTCCGAATTATTAGATTTAAATCTAAGAAACATTAATATAGAATATATTATCGTGTAGTTTATATATAAGGTATACGTTAAGACACTTACTGCTACAGCAAAAATTCAACAGTTAAAAGATTGTAACAACTAGTTCACGCTCGCGACGGACACGGAAGCGAAACCCTTATTTAGTTGCTATCCCTCTTCCCTCGTTGTGGCAAAATATAAAAAATGGACATCTTAAAATTGGAAATTATTTCATTAATTTTAGTTTTTTTTTTTTTTTTGTAAACGTTTATTTAGCTTCCCTGCGAGAAAAAAAATGTCAGCTCTGTGAATAATGAATTTAATATTAATAATATTCATAATTAAATGAATAATTTAATATTAATAGTAATATAACAATTTACTTATATAGAATTCGAAAACTCCTAAATATAATTCCCAATTCTAAGACATTTGTTTTTTTTTTAATTTTATCACGATGAAGGAAATCAGGCCAACTAAATAAGGGTGGAAGTGGACGATCAGGCTCAAATTCCTCGACATTCGCGGACTCTCGCGAAACTCGCGATCGTCATCGAATTTTCAGATCCTTCGGGAAAGCTTTGTTATACTTTAGAAACTCAGTTATACTCAGTGTCTACAGACACTTTTTTTCTCCCTTTTTTTTGGATCGTAGATGAATGAAGCAAAGGTCCCAAAAATTCGACGAGACAGAACACGACGAGTCTCCCGATTTTCCAAGAACGGACGAGAAATTTTATTGGTCGCGCGTTTCGCGTCCGAAGCAGCTTCCCACCCTTCGCGCATCTCGTCTCCCTCTTCCGTAAAACATCGTTCGTCCCCCTACGTAATCGGGGTTACTTTGGCACGCATTTATTCTCTTCCTCTTCGTAATGTCGGCACACGGTGTGCCGTGTTGCTTATCATTTATGAGCTCGTAATATAATTAATGCGAATGAATCTCTCGGTCGGCGAAACCTGAGACCGATTCGCGCGGACGATACGATAAAATGAGGTGTCCTCGTTATTGTTATTTCCTTCGGGGAAAACTACTGGTTTTCGCGAACTGGGAAAAACGCCGGGGAAGGAGGCGTGTGTCTGAAATTTCGTTCTCTCGAAAAAAGAATTTTTTTTCGCATCCTCTCCTTATTTACGTATAGATATCTCACGACAGCTCTCTTCACTTGTACGAACGAAACGCTCGATTCGAGTTGCGTGTGCGCCACGACTCTTTTTTTTTTTTTTTTAAGTCGAAATGAAAGATATATTTAGGGTGACGGAAGTAAATGCTAACGGCGGACGGAGCCAGTCGCGCTTAAAATCGCGGACGTGTAAATTAACGAGTAAATCCTCCTTCGTCGTCTGGGTATGCAAACTACGCGCGCAACGATAAACCCATTACTCGTTGTACAAATATTCCAGAATATATGAAAATTGCATTCGATGCATCATCTTACGCATGTGTGCGCGAAAGGGAGAAAGTAAGTAGTGTCCTCTGGTAGCGCTTTGTGTAAAATTAGTCATATAAAAAGTCGCGTTAAAGAGGATCATATCGTGGACTATTGCACCAATAAACGCGTTTGTTTTACGAATATAAAATATATCCATTCCGATATACGCAATATTGTATATCACAAAAGCAAAAATGTGTATATGTGGCCGTATATAACTCGCGATAACGATTCTCTCTGTTTTGGCACGGATCGAACTAACCGCACACCCGGTACATGTCAAACCCTTTCTGCGCCTTCGGGTGCGAATGAATCTAATATCCTTATTATAATCTGTGCAATAGTTTTTTTTTTTTTTTTTTTTTACCAACTTCCACGCATAATCTCGGCTACTATAGTAATCACCATCTGTATATATACCTAAAAGATAAAATATAATTTAATATTTAATTTGTATATGTAATTATATGTAATGTAATATTAATTAAAATCTAAATCACACATTCGCTCGTAATTGTGGCTTACTCCCAATTACTTGCTACTTGGCACGGAATGAGTCATATTTACTCGCAATACTTCTAGCGAAGATAATACTGACAATATGATAACTAATAATGAGAGTTTGGCAAATTATGCAAGTGAGTCATCGCAAAATGTAGCAACGAGATAGTGAAAAATTTTGTTGGAAAAAAAATATACTCATTAATATTCTCGACGAAACGCGAATCGAACGCAGTTGGCGTTTGCAAAGAAAAAATCGATATTTAAATATGAAAATATATACTGGAATGAAACTTTTCATGCCGTGCAGCTTTGACTTCGCATTCTTCGTATACCTCGTAGTGTTTAGCGTAGTATATATGTAGTAATGACGGAGAATAATCTCATTCTCGACGACACACCTTCTTGTGTCATGGCGCACGAAGCATTTCGCGCCACACACCGATTAAAAATCGTTTATCGATTACAACGTAGTATTTGTATGATACATTAAAAATTGACACATATCTTCGTTACATTAAGTTTTTGTCCGCTTTCTCTCCCTTGTGCGAGCAAACGATCGATCGTCGAGGACGATCCTAAAGAGAGAAACACACTTGTACCGATAGCAAACTAGTCCGACGTTTTGATTTTGCAAAAAGTGACAATCGCGTTTGACAGCTTCCTTTCTAAAGTGTTATGTATAAGAACAAATGGGTATTTCAATAAAATGGTTTTTCAAACTCGCATGAATTTCTTTGAATTTATAGATCTACTGAATTAAATATAGCTAGAGATTCATAAAAATAGATGTATAATGATGTAAGGATTCTACGAAGATGATTCTCAAATCGCGATACTGTCTGCAAAACGAAACGCGTCGGACCTGTCATTATAATACTTGGTATAATTATATTAGCGTATTGCGTTATATCGCATTTCTTTTTAAATTCGTAATAGTACTAACAAAAAACGATAACGGCAACCCAAGCAACGATAACAACGTGTTCGCAGTTTAACAAGTACTTAACGATATACTTATAGCATGGCGATTCGTGCAGCGAGAGCGAACTATAATCTAGATACGTAACGTTAAAACGAATCTTCGTTAAAATAGCACCTTTCCATCCCGGCCGGGGTCCTCGCGACATGCCGCGTGTCGTGACTCGGTGCTTTTATTGATCTCATTAACCGTTGGCCTGATTCAATCGAGTCTCGTACTACATCCGCCCCGATATGCGCTCGAGCATTACTCGAGCTGCCGCTCGAATTTGTCAACGTCCATAAATTTATCGATCGCCGTGTCTGTCTCTCTATATATACACATGTAGAATTTTCTAACAAATTTTTAAATTAAAATTACAATTAAAATTATATACTATAGTAGGCTGTGAAGGCTCAAGACCTAGAAAGTAGGCCTAGAAAACTAAAATTTAAGCATATCTTAAGAATTAACTAATATTTAAAAATTAAAATTAAATTGTAATTAAAGAGAGCGAGAGAGAGAAAGAGAGTTTACAATTATTGAAATAGTTAATGAGATGCAATAAAACGTCACGACATTCAACAAACGAGAATCCTCGGAACAGTTCAGGGTTGCAGTCTTAAACTTCGCTGAATTGCAATTTCTTCTGCCTTTTCTTCGTCTTTTTTTATTTTTTTTTTAGTCACGGCGATCGGTGCGGAAGAACGTGCATAAAAGACGATCGACGTTACGTCTCGCCGTGAATTCGTTTCTACTTTCAGTCTTTCTCCGTGTGATCCAGTCTACGATTCTAGCACCATCATGCAGCTTTCCCCGTTCGTCATCATCATCGAACGGGTTAATAGCCGATCGTCGTATACTTTGTCGAATCGGCTACGCGATATAACACCTGGATACCTGGTTTACATAGCTAATACAAGATCTCGTTAGAATTCAAAGATTACATTAAATTATCGATGTGCGCATGCAATAATCTATACGTTTCCCTAGCGCCTAAGAAGGGAAGCCTTGCCGATGCCGATTTGGAGAACAATTCCGTCAAATCCTTTCGGTCGACAACATTTCTCAAGTTACCTCGCTTATTTACTTCTCATCATCTCTCAAGTTACTTCTGTTTACGTGAAATTTCGAACGAGTTACGATTTTTTTTTATTCCGATTGTCTACCGAATTCAGCACTTTGCGTACGCAAGCCTTCCCAGTGAATTCTAATATCTAGATCGCAGTATATTGACAAAATGAGGACGTATAAAGAGCCTGTGGGTCGCGGTTTTCTTTCTTCGCGAATTACCCGATCGGACTGTCGTTTCCCTCCTTGTTTCCCGGGGGCATCTTCGCTAATTGGTCGCGTCTGGATTCGGCGAAGACGCCGGACTCTGCGGCGGATCGGTGTTCTCGGTGGTGTCTCTCGAGGAGGCCAGCAACGAGGGGGTTATCAGCATCCCGCGCGGGCTGAAGGTGTCGCAGTAGAGATTCTCCTTCTTGTGCACTCGTCGTACGTGGCTGCGCAGATTGTCGCGACGTGCGCTCCTATAAGCGCAATGCGGACACAGATGCGGCTTCTCGCCCGTGTGCATGCGCCGGTGTTGGATCAGCTGCAAAAAACCGAGAGCGGCTGATAATTTACATGTTATCAAAGATCATTTTATGTATCTTCTACTTTTTCCGCCAACGATCACCGTACATGACAGATACATCTGATCTTTCACATCCTCTGGATTTAAGATCAACTGTATCTGTCACATGTCTGAAAGATCTTTAGGAACATCCAGAGAATATTCACATCCTCTAGATATTTTCTGAACTTCTTTCGGACATGTGTGCTGTTAGAAATCAAGATCAGTTGGATCTGTCATATATCTGAAAGACCTTCAGAAACTCCAGAGGATGTAAAATATTCTCTGAATGTTTTCTGAACGTCTTTTGGACATGTGTGTTAGAGATCAACCGTATCTGTCACATGTCTGAAAGATCTTCAGAGACATCCAGAGGATATTTCACATTCTGTGAATGTCTTCGGAATATCTTTTGGACATGCTGTGCTGTTATTATAGAAACTGTCTCATCTGTCAGTCGACTCTTTATGCTTCAATACGTACTATCAGATTGATCAATTGTTTGTTTTGACATTTTGCGATTCCTTTTACGTACTTTTTTCAATTGTACCGTGCGAAAGATGCAGATGTCGCAGCAAAAGTACCGGTCGTCACGATGCCTTCGCATATGCCTGCTAAGATCGACCTCGGAGGAACGATCGGCGCCGCAGACGGCACAGCTCACCCTAGTTTCCGGCGCTGAGCCCCTCGCGTGCGCTCGCAGGTGTCTCTGGAACGCCTTCTCGATCGTGCACGCATATGAGCACAGCGAGCATCGATACTCCTCTCTCTCGTATCTGAGTCGCAAAATAGAGAATGATGTAAAACGTACATATACAATGAATGAGAGAAAAATTCTCTCCTCTATTTCATTTCATCGTAAAAATTTTGACATTTCGTAAAAATGTCAAACAAAAAAAATTCCAGAAGGGATATATGTAGGAAAATTGTTCGAGTACCTATACCTGACGCGTTGCAAGGCCAGGGAACGCTTCTTTCCCGTGGGCGTCATCCCCTGGGCCACGTGGGCCGCCACATGGGTCTCCATCTCGCACCTGCTGTTCGTCGTGAAGTCGCAGCCCGTGGACGGACACCTCTTGATCTCGCCGGTCTCCGTGCCGGAGAGTGCCGGATGACAGTCGGCTATGTGCTTCCTCAGAGCCGGCCTCGTCGGCGCCATTACGTCGCACGAGCCGCAGGAGTAGCCGCGGTGAACGCTGCTCACGTTCGGGCTGCTGCCTCTCGATCTGATATAATTAAATCATGCACCATTACTAGCACTGTTTAATTAACTGTGCTATTTAATTAAACAGCAAGCAATAAGTTTAATCTACTTTAGAAAAATGCAAAATATTAAAATTTTATTAAAAATGACAGCGGAAGGAAAAATAGAATGTTTTAAAATTACAAAATTAATTATATAAAAAATTACCGAGATAATTTTGTACCGTTATAATTACAACAGGGTACCCTTTAAGCTGTATCACGACCCTAACGAGGCTATGGAAATTTTTAAATGTCAAGGGATATCAGTTTGCATCATTAATCTTAAGTCACAAAGACATTGCGTCATCCATTAACTTTAACTTTATCCCTCCATTTTATTATCGCCACTTATTATGTCATCGTTAACGTAAGAATGATGTATAAAATGTCTTACATAGTTCACGGCATAATAATAGATTCTCCGATGAGTTATAGACTTCATTGTGTAGTTTTTACTCAAGGAAAGTAATCGTTGTATTACAAAAATATGTTGTAAATTAATTAATTCTACGTACTTTTCAGTATAGGACGAGTGCTCGCTCTCGGAATCACTGTCGGAGGGAATATTGAGAACTTCCGTTGCTTCGAGTGCCGCGGTGGCTGCTGACAGCCTCCCAAGCATCGCCGTGTAAGCACCCAACACCCAACCGTTCAGGACAGGCGTCACCGTTCCTTCCTGAGTAAAAGATTAACGATAAAAAAAGGTATTTATAAGCAACAAAATTTACATAAATTTACATTATATTGCAAGACACCGAAAAAGGAAAATATATGCTGAAGAATATGTACATGACAATTGGTTAACAATTTGCGACATATACCTATAGAGTGTTCCATAGGAAATTGCTGAAACTAATCAGCACTTTTTTCATTACTCTTTTTTAATCAAATAAACTGGTATACAAGTATTTTATTTATCCATTAAAAACTGTAGACTTTTTCCTCTTTTCAATACAATTGTTGTTTTCTCAATAACTGCACCCAGTAAGCAAGAAATATTTAATCAACATTTTATAATGTTGATTTTATATAAATTTTCCAAACGTTATGATATAATGTTGTATAAATATGTTTAAAATATTATTAATAAATATTCTAAAAAAATATTTTAATTGATGTTTTATAAATGTTTTAAAAATATTATTCAATAACATAATGCTCTCAAAATATTAATAAAATATTTTAAAAACATTAATTTCAACATTACTGAAACCTCTAAATCAATGTCAAAGTTTGTTCATAATGATGTTGCATACAATGTTAAAAACTATATACTTGACAGCAATAATAACGTTGTAGCAATGATTTTTGCTTACTGGGCATGCATTAAAAAATGACAGCTGATTAGTTTCAGCAATTTTCTATGGGACACTTTGTATGTTCAAGATTCAAGTAGCAAACTGACGTCATTAAACGTCAAAATGACGTTTTTGACGTTTAATGATGCCAGTTTGATATTTAGGGAAAAATAGTTTTGCACAGTCTCCGACCTTGTCGAGGGCCAAACATGACATCGGATCGGGTAGCTTCGCGATTGACAGATTGTTGTTGGCCGATCTGTGTGAGCTGTCGGTGCTACCGGTATCGCTCTCATCTCCAGCATCTTCGTTGTCGTTGCTTTCGGTTGGCACGCAGGTCTACGATCGGTATATGCGAAAAATATAATAGTACTCTAGTATATATTGCATTTACATATTTATTCAACTTAAAATTAGACACGTGAGTACGTGAAAATGAGCAAAATTTAAGTTTATTCCCCTAATAGCACAACATATCCAAAAGATATTCAGAGGATATTCAGAGGATATCCAGAAGACATTCGAACATCTTCAGGATGTTCTCTGAACGTCTTCGGGATATGTGCTGTTATAGGGTCGAGCTTACAAATTTTTACAAGTATTCAAAAATAGTTTTATATCGCAAACAAATTTAATATAAATATATACTATATATAAAAGTCATAATGCTTCATTACTTGAAGTAGAGAAATTAATTTGGAGAGAATAATTAATTTGAAGTAATTATCGCCTGTTTAATACATTCATGATATTCATTATAATTATTATATTCATTATACATTACATGTTCAATTTGTTACAACAAACACAATAAAAAATTAAAAAAAAAATAATATTACTACACAACACCGAAAGAACGGAAGAAGTTTACCTGGTTTTCGTTCTGATCCTCGGCCTTTTCGATGTTGCCTTCGTTGTCGTCGCGCTGCTGAGAGTCCTCATCTTCGGCGTTCGTGCTCTTCTCGCCGTCCTCGGCGTCCTCGGCATTGGTGGATGCGACCGACGACGGTTTCGTCACCAGCTCCATGGGGACGTAGGGCGGCCCCGCCGCCGTCAGAGGCAGCGGCAGCATGTCGGGCCGATGAAGGGCGCTCAGAGCGAAGGCAGCCCTCGGCAGAAGCTGCGATGTCGCGCCGGGAGGCAGAATCGGGTGCCTTCGGGCGAGACGCGGGTCACCCCAAAGTTCACCCGCGACGTGAAGACTCCAGATCCCATATTCCATCTGAAATGTTGCCGATTTAGCGTGGAAAAAATATAGAGAGCAGCCGGAACAACTATTTTTCACACAGTGAGTTGGAGGTAGAATATTTTGTACTTTTATCCCATTTGGAGGGAGGAAATCATTTTCGCGCGAAAAAATTGTTATAAAAAGTACTATTGTTTGATTTACAAAATAATTTATATTTCGCTAAAAAATGCTATATGTTCCCAGATAGTCACAGTAATTATTACGATATCTTTTTGACATCGAAGTAATTTGACGTCTAAAATATATCATTTTGCCGTTCAAATTATATAATTTGACGTCAAAATTACTACTTTGCTATCTGGGTAATATTTTTTTCATAGAATTATTTTAAAAAATGAAACGCGCAAGAGTACTTTATTGTAGTTTTTAATTACTCTTCTATTTCGATAAAATGGAGCTTCAATTCACAGATTTATAATAAAAATGATACATGTTTGATACAAGTTGATGAAAAAATGTGCTCTTCTTTAAATACACAATCTGGATGGCTTTTATCTTAAAAGATTATTCTTGTATTTAATATATTTATAAAGTATCTGTTATAGATGTATCGTGTCGGTGCGCGTGTTATTATAACAATGATTACGCGTACCGGATTTGAATATGGAATTAGAAATACCTGAAAGCTTAAGAGATTGAATCGCTCGGAAACGGTGCTCATTATGTTTGTATGGACCGCGCGATGTAAAAAGAGTAAGGGTAGGGGGACGAGAAGAGATTAGTAGTGGCCCTCGAATCAATACTTACGTGCAATTTTCAAGCCAACCGAGTATTTGTTATATTTTTATGCAATTTCGTTTGTTTTTCTCAAGTTGTGCGTGCATTTAATTTAAAGTCATTAAAAAAAGTAGTCAAACGTCTTCAAAGTTCGATTCTACTTGTGTAATGACTGATTAATATATTGATTAATATACTTTTTTAAAGGAATTTTTTTTTATAAAGGATCAATGCTTACAATTATTTCATGATTATCTTTTTTTTTTACTTTTTTTATTGTATACGGAATATATTCTAGAAATATATAGTTAAGAGTCGAGCAATATACGCGAAAGTAATCTGATCCCGGGTAGCGCGAGGTCAAATGTCTTAAAGCATACTTTCGGTAGAAATGCAGAGAAAGATATTGTACGATGAAAAATTATCTCTTTCTAAATGGAGGGTCTATTTCGGTCCTTTAGCTCGCCCTGCGTTTCCGATTCCACCGCACGCGGAATCGCGGAACGTTCTGCATCATTAAAATCCAACTTCCTCTTTTCGCTCTAGAATATTTTATACTTCTTTCTCGTCGAATAGAGAATATTATTACACCTGCTACGTCACTCTTGTCAAATGATTACTATTATACGATGTTTGCGAGATGTTGCAGTTTACTCTCTCTCTCTCTCTCTCTCTCTTAAATGTAATGAAAACTCGCGGACTTGTAATTATGAGATCCTTCTTCTGGTTCATTTTACAGTCAACACAAAACGAGACTTATCAGTCGGATAACGTCGAATATGCAGCTTTTGCACGGAAAAATTAAACATACATACTTAGCGCAAGACACATTTTATAACTGTTTTAACATAATTTTGTAAAATCCGTAAAATATCGATTAAAAAATTAATTTTTTTCTCAATTTTGATACGAAAAATAATCTACGTAGTTATCCGTATGTATGCTTACTACAGATTTAGGCAAAGAAATCATCCCTTGAAATTAACTCGAGATTTGATAGTAAGGAAAAATTGATTTCCTCTGAATTATTTATTTGTCTCTATTTATATAGTTCTAAAATATTTTTCTTCAAAAGTCAGCGTGTTACATATATGAATATCTATATAAAATGCTAATTTTTGAAGAAAATTACAATAAATTAATAATATTAAGTAAACTATAATAATATTTAATATTTTAGATTAAACGAAATAGAGACAGACTAGAGAATTAATAATAAAGCGCGAATATCTATATACACACACACACACACACATATATATATAGTGTACAATTATATATATATAGTGTACCTTAAGCAAGTTTTAATTTTTTAATTTTATCATTCTCCAAGTAAATAAAAGTATTTAAAAAATATTCTATTTCTTGGAAATCTCAAAACCGTAATTATCTCACAACTCTCGATTTATAACTCGAAATATATACAGGGTGTCCGGTAACTAACGGACCAACGATTACAAATGGATTCTTTGATGAATTTGGGAACGATTTTTCCTCAGCGAAAATGTCGAAAAAGGTCATCATATTTTACAACTTTCCAATATTTGTCCATTATGTATCTTTACAACTAAACCTCAAATGAAAATTTTATTATAATAAACTCTACCTGAAATCAACTGAAGAATGTAATTACGTTAGACTTTTAACTCCAAACTCGTTTGGTTTTCAAAAAACCCATTTCTTTCAATCGAAAAAAATTATTGACTTCTCAACATTTTTGCCAAGGAAAAATCGTCTCCAAATTGGCCTCCATCAGAGAAACCGCCCTTAATCATTCCGTCCGTTAGTTCCCGGACACCCTGTATATATAACGAAGGAGATCTCTTTCCTCGGTCGCGCTTGGCGCTCGCGATCGGCGACGCTCGCGGATCGTAAGAAATCGGGGCTTTCCCTCGAAAGGGGGCGCCCCTGTAGTGGCCTACCGCAACAATTCGGACCGATCGTCATTACGCCGGACTCATCCCCCGCTCGTAGCCGGGCCGATCTCCACCTTACCGATCGACCGGAAGTTGACGCGCGTCGCGGCTCAGCGCCGCCACACTCATGACGACGACGACGATGACGATAATGCGATAAAGGACGTGACGTCGGCGCGATCCGCGAATACCGGAGTCAAGGAGAGACACGAGTATATCCGGGTCGTCCGGATACGTGCCGTCGTAGAACGAACGAACTCGCGAGATTCCTGACCATTGGACCGACCCTCGTGCATGCATACTTTAGCATAACGTTCTCTATACAATATCCAGAAAGAGGGAAAGAGACACGGGGGTGACGAGGGGGCTCGGAGGCGCGCGTTGAGGGTAGGATTTTCTCTCCTTCTCGGTCCCAGTCGGCTTCGCCCTTTCTCTTCTTCCTCTCTCGCGCGCGCGTGTGGTCCCCCCTCCCTCCCCCGAGGGGGGGAGGGGGGGCTCGACAGTAGTCCTACCCCTCGCGCTGACCCCATCCCCCTTCGCTCCGCCGCCCCATTCGCTGCCGCGAATCGATTTGTTATTGTTTTTGTGTCTGCGGTCGTCGCGGCGGATGGAGTGAGCGGGGTTATATCGGGGTGGAGACGGGGGGGGGGGGAGGTAGAGGGTGGGATTGCCGGTGCTGCTGCTGCTGCGGCTGCTGATGCTGGTGGTGGTAGTAGTGGTGGTGATGGTGGTGGTTCGAAGGCTCGGCTTCGGTTTTCGGGCCGGCAGAGAGGCGACCAGGGTGAATAAGCTGCTGCTGCTGCTGCTGGGAGGGAGGAGGGATCGCGAAAGGGGAGAAAAGGGATAGAGATACATGGGTATCCCGATCAGTGGCGTAGCCGGCGTAGGACGCGAAGGACATTCGGAAAAAACGCTTTTTTTTTTTTAGGGGTTTTTTTTTTTTCAATTTATCTCCTCGTTTATTCTGGAAACCCTCTGGCGACAATCATCCCCCGACGGACATTTATATGTAAAACTGTCATTGCTATATATATACTTAACGGGAATGACGAGTGACGAGAATATTATTAGTTCTTATGGGAGGAAAATGGAGTCTGCTCGCGGAAAAAGGGTTGATCGCGCCATTGGCATCGCCGCTGAAAGGGGTGCGAGAGGGTTGAGGATGGAAGCTGGCACAATGACGAAGAGGAAACGAACGTGGCTAGGGCTAGAAGGGCGGAGAAGGGGAGAGAGAAAATCCCCGCGAGGGCGAAGGAAGGAAGGGAGGGGGCAGGCGATCGCATGGGTTAAACCGAGAGGGGATGTTGGAAGACGAATGCGCGAGGGAGAGGGTAGCGCGAGAGGATCGGATTGCGTCCTCGGGTTGCATCGAGGGTGGTCGAGAGAGAGAGAGAGAAGATAGTCGGAGATAAAAGGGAAGGAGAGGCGAAGGAAGAGAGAGAGAGAGAGAGAGAGGGAGGGACACGTCGGCATCAGCTTGACAGGTGACAACCGATCGGGCCACTGACGTCACAGATCACTCGGCCGAGCACGCGCACGCACAGACTACGCGACCCGCGACGTGCATGAGGTCGGACCTCGCGTATCCACACTCGCGTACAACCACACCGTGCACATCCTTTATCGACACACGTCGTCGCGAAAAAAATTAAAAGGACGAAAAATACAAGGAAAAAAGATTCCGCGTAGATGGGGGTCGTAAAATGCAAATGGAGGGGTGGGGGGAGGGGAGGATGCGGATGCACGCAAACGGGGAGAGAAAAAAATCGGAGCGGAAATCGAAGCGTGACGACGTTATTAGAGAGAGGTGAAGAGAGGAGAGGGAGAGGAGAATAGGGACGAGTCGAAGGATCCGCGAGAATTTTTGCGCGCCGCTATAAATCCCGGACTCTGTAATATTAATAATTGCGTGGTATTTACCGGGTTTTAACACCGGCCGATGGCCCCCGCGCGCGGCGCCTCTCTATCTGGTTACCATTACACTCGGATGTATGAAATGCGCCACGGGCATACAACCATCCCCCCACAATAGCCCTATTTATGATTGGGCAAAATTGCTTTCCATGCGCAGAATAAAATCTCGCGCGCGGGTCCGGGAAAAATCCGCGGGGCGCCGCGACGGGACGCGTCGCTTTTCCCGCCGCCGCCGTCGTCGTCGTCGTTTCATCCCCCTCCTTCGATTCGGGGACGGCGTGACCCGAGCGACGAGATCCCGGGTGACGACGACGACGTCACCCTGGCGTGTAATGTACGGCGCGTATCGCGCCGACCAATTTTCACGTCCAATTTTTCACGGCGATCCCGCCCGACCGAGATTCGCGAGAAATTAAATATCGTCCGTCGCCCTCGCGCGCCGCGAAGCGGCGCTGCGATCGCCCCGCCGCCTCGGCCAATCACGGCTCGACTTGTCTCCCGCTAGTTCCGAGAAGCGCCGCCCTTCGACGCGCGGCGTCAATTGTCACGCTAAAATATGGTTAAAATATAATACCTGCATTTATTTCCGAACCCTCGATCGATTTATTTCTGCATGGTTCTGTATTTTACGTTTCTATATTTTCTCAGTGTTTTGAATCAACTCAACGTGGAGTTTTGTTATAAATATTGTCAGTCCGATGTTATGCATATATCCTTGCTTATTAATTACGCAGACTGTCATTTATTCTATTTTATATATACACAATGTGCTGTATTGATTTTAAATGATTATCAAGGGAAAAGATATGAACCGAAATAATGATCGACGATATATAGTTTTATGAAAGGCATTCGATCGTGTCCCGTATTGCATTGTTAGGTTAAATGACAAATTAGACAAAGTATACGCATATGCATATATAATATATGAATTTTCACGAGTTTTCTTAATAAAATATACTTATTACATATTGTTATATCGTAATTATGTCTACGCAATCCGAACATATAATTTATTGAAAATAATATTTTAATAAAATATAAATATATCGGAATTAATTAAGATATTTATTTTCAAAGTCAGTTGTAGATCGGAAAAGAATCGAGAAGAGAATAAATAATAAATCATCTGGAATACCTCATTTTAGAGAAATATTTTCAAAGCCCTAATAAGCCCTTTTATTCACATCGTCATTATTCACTCGCCATATTGCAATTTTGACAGAGAACATGGGATATATTATTGTCTGTATATAATATCGCGGACTTACTTTTGATTCTTCATGCGCGCGCGCCTAGAGATTATATTCGCATTCGCGAACGAATCCTCGAATCCGACCAATAGGAACGAAGACGCCTGGCTGACCGCTCTTCGATTGGTCGACGGTGCGACTCGAAGAATTCGAAAACGCCAAGCGGAACGCAGTTCTACGACAGTCGCGTACGTCGAAGGAACGCGTTGCATCGCGTTTTTCCGCGGAACGTGTATTTTTGGGAAAATAATTAGAGATATCTGACATTTGAATTTATTTTTTCGACGAAAGTCCACAGTCAAAACTCTCGAACGCGACAATCGATAAGAACATGGATATATTACACAGGTATATATTACATAGATATATTACATGTAATATATGTTACATAGATATATTACATGTATTATATATTACATAGATATATATTACATGTTACATATATTACATATGTAATATATCTATGCGATAGAAAAAGAACGGAGCAGAAGGAACATTTCACTCTTGAGCGGAGGAATCAGCTGTCAAGTTGGCTGCCGTGGCCGCGTCTAGAGCTCACCGCTCTTGTCAGCCGAGTCAGTAGCCAGTCCTCGCCAGTTGGTAACAGACCTTCGAGCGGGTCGTGCGCGTGAAATCGACGACTGCGTGTTCTGTCCCCGTGTTCGGTCGAGCGTTTCCTCGATCCGATCGCGTCTGGAAACGCGTCAGCGTCCGAAGCGGTGCCGTAGTCTCGTGTCTGTCGACGGGGAGGAGGAAACGGCGAGTGCCATCGTCGTCGTCATCATCCGCGCGACGTCGCGTCGACGGTCAGCTGCCATGGGGCTCGTCGACGGGATTATTTGACCCACGGGAACGACTCCAGGCTCGTCGGTGGGATCGTGAGTTTTGTCTCGCGTAAGCGCTGCAAATCGGTGAGTGCGACAACAATTATTTCCCCGTTAAATATATATACTGTCATCGACGTCGTCGCGCGAGGCTCCCATCTGTTCGTTCTCTCTCGCTCTCTCCCGTATATGTGACAGCGTTTCATTGTTGTGTCTCCCGTTTTGTTTCTCGACGCAAGGACGACGCTCTCTTCCCCAGAAGAGAAAGCGTTTTCTCGCGACTGAAATTATATTCCTCGCGATTAAACGCCGAGTGTCTCGATCAAGGTTGAAAAACGATCCGAGAAACTAATCCCTCGAAAAGTTTTCCAATCTCTCTCTCAAAACACCCTTTATTATCTCACCGTGTTCCGCGATGAGCTTTGACGTGCATAATCTTGCATCATCCGAGAGACATCTGTTCTCTCTCTTTTTTTTGGCTTACACAATAACTATTATAATTATACCGTGTCTTATATTTTCTTTAAACATAAAGAAAAGCCTTTTTTAATAAGGAAAACAATTAGATATTTAAAGACAAGGCTCGTGTGATATTATAAAATTAAGATTTAGAAAGACAGGGCCAACTATAACGAAAAGCCTTTGTTATATATAACAATGTAGTTTTCCTCTCCGAAAAGGGCATCCGACAGGGACTTTATCCCTTTTAAGGCTCATCCTTCGTTCCGGGGAGGCCAAGTATATAAATGAGCGTGAGAGTGAACATTGTCTTGCGAAATACAATCGAGTTTCCTCGAGAGTTTCCGCGGCCCTTGGCGGATACTGTACTAACAGAACTGACCGAACGGAGGCGTCGTGTCCCAGCTGTTCGTGACAGCTCGGAAGGGGGCACCTTTGTCCGCTCGTCGCTGGCCGAGCCTCGGCGCGACCGATTGTTATTTATCCCCTCGGCTCCGATGCCCTCCTTCGGCTTTCGTCTCCGAGGCTGGATTTCGCTCGTACGAGAGAACGAGAGAGGGAACGTGTATTTTAAACGCTTTCCACCCTTTCGATGTACTCACTTTTCTAGCGTGAGAAGAGTATCAAGTTATCGACTAGAAACGTTTCTAATGCACGCAAATAATTTTTTTTTTTTTTGTCCCGTGAACTCTTTCTGGAACATCTATATCCGCGATAAAAGTGATTTATCATTATTGTCTCTTTAAAATGAGAATTAATTCTTTTTGTTTTTTTTTTGTGCGCGATCCTTGAATCGTGCTCGAAGAAAAAAGTTGACAAAGAAATTGACGTGCATAATAAGTATAAGTTATATAATTTTTACGTATTCGAGGTTTTTTTTTTTCACTCGCTCCCACTTGAGAGTTATTGAAATGTAACACATTTATCGCGTTTGTGCTTTAAAATTCATGCCCCGGTAACGCTCAAAGTAAATCGAAACACGATTTGTTTAAAAGACGATATCTGATTAAAAAGTTTATAGTAGACCGACAATCTATCTCGACGCGAAATTGTGCCACTTGGATTGTGATAAACAATCGCGCTTCGATAATATCAATTTACGTCGTAGACGAATTGCGAAAATTTGTTATAACTTTTATTTCTCGCAGACGACGAAGAAAGACTGATTATGCTGTAAATAAAATATGTAAAATTTTTACATAAAAATATATATATAAAATTTATTTTTATGTAATATATCACACATTTTTTTTACTTTATTTGTCCGTCACAAATCGATAAAATGATATCTTTCATTTCTGTTGTACAAATGCAGAACGCTAATTTTCAAGATAAAATTTAAAAATACTCAAAATATCTTTTCTTTTCTCTCTTTCTCTTTCACGTATACTACGTGAGAGAATTTTATCTTCGATTTTAAATAATAATTAGACATTAATATTTATTTTTGTGATAGATATTAATATTTTTTAAAAATTGTGATAAATATTAATCAGAAAAGCTCTTATAAAATTCTTTCAAAACCAGATATAGTCCCACGATTACCATACTTTTGAGGATAAATTCTAAGAGAAAATTCTCTCTGTGTAGTCACTCGAAAAGATCATATCCACGTACAGTCGGCATCTGCAAACGTTTACCGAACCTTTTAAGAGAAATGAAATGTAATTCGGAGGCTGATGGGTCCAGCCGAGTCTACTTCGAGCCACTTGAGCTTTTATGGCTGTATGGTTGAAAGATACACACGTCTTTCGCTCATTCTCTCTCTCTCTCTCTCTCTCTCTCCTAACGTGTCAAAACAACACACGGGGGCGTCGTCTCAGCTCGTTCGTTGAACCCAACTGTTTTGGATGTGCACCTAAAAAAATTCAAGGTGACGCCCGCGGTACACGTTTAGCTCCCCCGATCGTTCTCCTTCGCGAATCTGCGGTTGCAGTTTCAGCCTCGTTAAAGAAAGAGAACAGGATCCGATGATAGGCTCCTGGGCAAGATGAAATCCGTTAGCTTCACGCTCCGATCTTTTCGCCTTCTTCAGTTATCTTCGCAACTTCTCAAGAAGTAAACTACTCGCATCGAGTTATCTCGACTGCAACATTCGAGAGATAACAGATGAGCTGTACAAACATTCGAAAATTCACACGCAAATCTCGTACGAACGCGAAACTGTGCTAAATTTCATAGATGTACACTATTTTATTCATATTTTTATATTATATTTTTTATTTCACATTATATGAATAACTTCATATTTTTTTGCAAGTATATATATACACAGAAAATTCTTAGAATTTACCCTGAAAGTGATGGGAATCGTAAGACAATATGGTATTGGAAGAATTTTATAAGAGTTATAGATATTATATTTTTTAATATTTTTTGTGATAGATATTAATATTTTTTATTGTGATAAATATATACATATTAATCAGAGAGTCATAAAATTTTTATCCAATATCATATTGTCCCATGATTACCATGATTTCCAGGATAAATTCTCTCTGTATAAAACTGTACACCTAATTTTTCTATCAAAAGATCATTCTTTACGTAATCACTGCTATTCTATCTACACATCTTTTTATTAAGATTTATAACTTATAGATTGATTTATAACACATTTTATTTTACATTAATATAAATAATTTTATTAATATTTTTGTCTATATAGTTTTTATACAAGTATATATGTATATAAAACTATAAAGTATATTTAATGTATTTATCAAAAGATCATTTCTTTACGTAATCAACGTTATTCTGTCTTTATATATATTTTGCCTTCAAATTTGATTGAGATTTATAAGATGTAGATGCGTAATTCTTCGTAGAAGAAGACGTAAGCTCCTTTTCTTCTCTTTCGGAGGAACTTTCCGAAATTGTCGATAAAATAAATGTAACAGTTGGCTCTCTCGCGAGGCATTGAAGAAAAAAAGCGTCACGCGAGGAGTGCGAGGTCCCGCGAAGTGTCCACGTGAGTTAAAATTGCGGATCTCGGCCTTGGTGGGCAAGTGTCTATAAATATGAGGTTCGCTTATAGGCGACCCGCGACCGAAGGTGCAGCAGCGCTGCATCGTCGTCCCTCGACAAGGCTGCACGCGTTAGGAAACGCGCTTGTTCTCTCTCTCTTTCTCTTTTTCTATCTCTCTCTCTTCTTCCTCTGTCTTTTACACATTACGTAAGGCCCCGCGATATCAGGGGACGCGTATACAGAGTGTTTCAAAAGCAACGGCCTACTCTCTTCTTTCAACGATTCTTCTTTCTCCAACCCATAGTTGGATTTTCTTGCCTATAGCTTTACAGGAAAGTTAAATGGGAACACAGGAATTAGAGATCTAAACCAAAGATACTGTTCCTAATTAGCGAAGAATTAATTTTCGCAATAATTGACGCAAAAGACATCGCTCTACAGCCGATATATACATAAATTATATGTTGATTTCGAGAGTCGAATAATATTCTAAATATTGTCAGTTTGGTTTTCTTTAGTCAAAAATGTCGAAATTTATAGTTAAAGTTGAAGATTAAAAAGAAAATGTAATTCTGCGAGTTGCAACAGTTTTTGGGATGGATGTAGGAATTTTGGAATTAGATCGGCGTATCCGGTGAAACGATATCGATGGAAGGTCGAGTTAAAAAGTCTGCACGTGTGCAGGATATTTCTATTGTATATAGTAACATTGGCCGAACGCGCACGATTGCTTTAATCGCGCTGCGCATTTTGCGCACGTAGGCATGTGCAACCACGCGCAATCGTGAAATTACAGTAGTGTTGGTTGCATAATATACAGGTAACCTAGATCTGCACCCACTGCTTCCCACCCGTTGACCTCGTTACCCTTCCCTAGGCTCTGCCTTAGCGTGCAGGGACCTTTATTTCCAAGACGAGATGCTGCTCGGCATCTCGACGAATCATCTCGTCGAATGGCGCAACAGAAAAGATCATAGGACCCGAGGGAATCCAAACAGAAACATATAATATATCCGCAAGTGCAGTAAAGGAGGACTTGTATATAGAACTCGTGACTGGCTGATTTCAATTTAAGAGATGCAAGAAGTGATAGTTGTATATCTCGATTTTTTTTATACACTTTCGCGTTTTTGTCAATTTACCGCGTCCTACATGAAGCTCATTTGAACGTAAAGAGAAAGGAATATTTCTACGCGAAATTTCTACGCGAAAGGTGAATTGACTCGTAAATACAAACCATCTGGCAACTGACTCGTACGAACAAAATCAGATCAATGATCCTTTTTTTTTTTTTCCCCGAACCATCGAAGCTCACTTTCACCGGTGTGAGCGCTTGCTTTTGCTTTTATTAAGTCATTCCGCCGCGAAACTACTGGGAGATCTAGTGTCTATTTCAGTAGGTTTACATATTCGAATCCGATCCACCACTCATATATAACGTACGAGAAACCATATTCCTATTATTTTGTGTTACTTTTACAATTACACAGAGAGCATTTTCTCTTGGAATTTACCCTGAAAATCATGGTAATCGTGGGACAAATATTGCAAGAATTTTATAAAAATAATAGATATATTTTTTAATATTTTTTATGATAAATATTAATCAGAGATTCTTATTATAAATATTGATATTTTTATTATGGTAAATATTAATCAG